CTGGATGCCAAATCAGATGGCCAAAATTACTACTGAAATATAGTCCTGCTAATACCCCTATTTTCTTTCTGACTGCATCATGTTTTTATCTCTCCTCTCCAGACATTAAGTGATCCTGTCAGGAATTTCATCTCAGCTGTAATTTTTCTGTTCTCTTATTATGCCACTGTTCAAGACTGGTTTAGTTAGCAATAATATAGAGCTGTGTAAAAAGACTGTATTATAGAGTGCATATTTTGAATTACCGACCTGATACTGGGGTCAATTTTCCTACCATTTTGGCTATACTGTTTTATTTACTGAAACAATATAACAACAAAGTCGACAACTGAAAGCCTCTGCTGAACAACATTTTTTGAAACTGCAGGCAGACTTGTATTAGTTGTCAACATTCACTGGGGAACCCAGGTGTGGTCACTGAAAACATTCACTGGGGAACCTAGGTGTGGTCACTGAAAACTTTCACTGGGGAACCCAGGTGTGGTCACTGAAAACATTCACTGGGGAACCTAGGTGTGGTCACTGAAAACTTTCACTGGGGAACCTAGGTGTGGTCACTGAAAACATTCACTGGGGAACCCAGGTGTGGTCACTGAAAACATTCACTGGGGAACCTAGGTGTGGTCACTGAAAACATTCACTGGGGAACCTAGGTGTGGTCACTGAAAACTTTCACTGGGGAACCCAGGTGTGGTCACTGAAAACATTCACTGGGGAACCTAGGTGTGGTCACTGAAAACATTCACTGGGGAACCCAGGTGTGGTCACTGAAAACATTCACTGGGGAACCTAGGTGTGGTCATTGAAAACTTTCACTGGGGAACCTAGGTGTGGTCACTGAAAACATTCACGGGGGAACCTAGGTGTGGTCACTGAAAACTTTCACTGGGGAACCTAGGTGTGGTCACTGAAAACATTCACTGGGGAATCCAGGTGTGGTCACTGAAAACTTTCACTGGGGAACCTAGGTGTGGTCACTGAAAACATTCACGGGGGAACCTAGGTGTGGTCACTGAAAACTTTCACTGGGGAACCTAGGTGTGGTCAATGAAAACATTCACTGGGGAACCTAGGTGTGGTCACTGAAAACATTCACTGGGGAACCTAGGTGTGGTCACTGAAAACTTTCACTGGGGAACCTAGGTGTGGTCACTGAAAACATTCACTGGGGAACCTAGGTGTGGTCACTGAAAACATTCACTGGGGAACCTAGGTGTGGTCACTGAAAACATTCACTGGGGAACCTAGGTGTGGTCACTGAAAACATTCACTGGGGAACCTAGGTGTGGTCACTGAAAACTTTCACTGGGGAACCTAGGTGTGGTCACTGAAAACTTTCACTGGGGAACCTAGGTGTGGTCACTGAAAACTTTCACTGGGGAACCTAGGTGTGGTCACTGAAAACATTCACTGGGGAACCTAGGTGTGGTCACTGAAAACATTCACAGGGGAACCCAGGTGTGATCACTGAAAACCCAGGTATGATCACTGAAACAGAGAAGGACAGGTCTAGATCATTTCTTTTCCCTGAACTGTTATATTTGTATCAACAATCTGCTCTGTGTTAAATACACATTATACCAAATATTCATTTTTGTTTAGCATTCATATACTTAAAAAGAGTTAATCTGTTCACCAATTGTTTTTCTGCAAATGACTGTACTGGTATTGACCTTGTCTGTGTGAAAAATTGTAATGTTGTTGTCTATGTTTCTGTGTTAATGACTGTACTGATGTTGTCTATGTTTCTGTGTGAAGGACTGTACTGATGATATTCATGTTTCTATGGGAATGATTGTACTGATGATGTTCATGTTTCTGTGTGAATGTACTGATGTTGTCCTTGTCTGTGTGAATGAATGTACTGATGTTGTCCTTGTCTGTGTGAATGAATGTACTGATGTTGTCCTTGTCTGTGTGAATGAATGTACTGATGTTGCCCATGTTTCTGCGTGAATGACTATACTGATGTTGTCCATATTTGTGTGAATGACTGTACTGATGTTGTCCATATTTGTGTGAATGACTATACTGATGTTGTCCATGTTTCTGCATGAATGACTGTACTGATGTTGTCCATATTTGTGTGAATAACTGTACTGATGTTGTCCATATTAGTGTGAATGACTGTACTGATGTTGTCCATGTTTCTGCATGAATGACTGTACTGATGTTGTCCATATTTGTGTGAATAACTGTACTGATGTTGTCCATATTTGTGTGAATGACTGTACTGATGTTGTCCATGTTTCTGCGTGAATGACTGTACTGATGTTGTCCATATTTCTGTGTGAATGACTGTACTGATGTTGTCCATATTTGTGTGTGAATAACTGTACTGATGTTGTCCATATTTGTGTGAATAACTGTACTGATGTTGTCCATGTTTCTGCGTGAATGACTGTACTGATGTTGTCCATGTTTCTGTGTGAATGAATGTACTGATGTTGTCCATATTTGTGTGAATAACTGTACTGATGTTGTCCATATTTCTGTGTGAATGACTGTACTGATGTTGGTCATGTTTCTGCGTGAATGACTGTACTGATGTTGTCCATATTTGTGTGAATAACTGTACTGATGTTGCCCTGAATGCTGTGTTGAATACTTACCCCGAAGAAACCAGTTGTATATTCAAATGTGATAATGTGCTTTTTGGTTGTTTTGTTAAATGTGGATGTGTCCACAAGTGAAAAGATATATAGTGGTGTAGAATGGCAACAGTTGCTAGCAGGTAATGAAAGCACACTGACACACCACGGCTTGGAGGCAACACAGATACTGCTGAAGCCTACAGCTAACTGGTTGGTATTATACAGTGCAGAGTCTATAAGGAGAACTCACTAGGGACACAAGAAATGGCTCTTATCAGGAATTCCTCTTATCCCAATAAAAATTCAAGCAAGTAAAATTGCCAGGGTTAAACAAACTGTTCTTCACAATACAAATTCACCACATCAGAGGTCGCCTTAAGCGGTCTGCACTGTGTGAGGATCTGCTTCTGCTTCTTCTGGCAACCTCGACCACAGACATATTTTGCTGTTGCAGAGTTTCTCTGATATTTCCATCTTCTAGGTTTACCTCGTGCTCTATGATGATCTCCTTTTCTTTTTTGGTGTATGCCTTGCATGATTTTATTCTGTGTCCATCTAATTCCTCTCTGGACATACTAAAATGAGAAAATTTGGTTCTGTCGCAGTTAAAAATCTCCTGCTTATATGTCACAATGCATGCTTACCTATCTTTCAGAAAGATCAGGAGAAGAGTTCAGAAACGGACAATTAAAAGAAAAAAAAATTCATGTGCCTATACAGCTGCAAACAAATGTATACAATTTAAACTATGCTTTTATTTAGAGCGGGGGTGGGGGGTGAAGGGGTTGGAAGGCTTTTGCATGAGTTTCTTTGATTGGGCCATGATTTGACAAGGACAGTCAACAGATAACTGTAACGTTAGTAGAAAACCGGGGAGATATATTTGATAGAAGAATAATGAGAAAAAACATCACAGGGAGAGTTTTAAAAAGTGTAATAAAATAGTCTTGAAGGAAATTAGAACTCACAAAGCGAACTGATAACCTGCGATATGAAGATATTCCTTAATCCGCGGACATGTCAAGAAAAGGCTAAAACTGGAATACATCAAGACAACAGCAAAGCTGGAGCTCAAGAGCAGTAGGGGTAAATTAGTGAGATGTTAGTCTGTATCATGGCATGGAGGAATATTTGTATCTACTACCACCGGAAGTACACAGGGCAGAAGGCTGTAGTCGGTCAACACCACACAGTACTGACTGAAAGAACCACATTCTATCAGATGTGAACAAATCTGTGCAATCATGACAAATAGCAACAACAAGAGCCATTGTTAACAATAATGCCCCAAATTATGTCATTGTGAACTCTGTTAAATTAAACACAAATCCTGCATTAGTTAACCCTGTCACGACCATGGAATTCTATAAAGCCTCAAATTTTCCCCAGGTTAATATGTTGTTTTGTTAAAAAGAGATAACTAATAAATTCATTCTAGGGAAAGCACCATGTGCCCGAATCCCCAATGGCAGAAAAAAGGTCCAACAACTCTTTTAGTACCAAAAGGTTGAGCATAATTTACATTTTTCATAAATGAACCCCATTAAATTAGGCGACTCCCCTGTGTGGGTTCCGGGGCCCCATTGTGGGGAAAACAAGAATAGACCCACTGCCTCCCCAAAAGCATGTTGTAAGAGTCAACTAATTGGGGAGCTTCCTTTGAAGACGGAGTGCGTCTGCCGGAGAGGCAAGGAACCAACAGTCTGTATTCAAGAGAATGAGATCTGTAAAACTGATGCACACGCAACACTCAGGTTCTGGAGCAGGACTGCAGTTCAGTAGTAGACGAGCAACCAGAACCTACCGCCAGAGTTTACAGCTGGTGAACGCGAAGAAGAAGAAGAAGAAGAAGAAGAAATTAGGCGACTGCATGTACCCACATTGGTTTCAGGGCCCTCTTTTCCCAGAGAACAAAGAAGAGACTGACTTCCCTCTTAACAAGCATGACATAAAAGGCTACTAATTATAGATTTGCTGAAACTGGATGTGTCTGACTAAAAGGTGCAGATGTTGCAGCCTAACTGTAAACCACAACACAATGTACAATCTGCCCTTTTAAGGCCAAACAAAGAAGAAAACTACTGCACACCACAAGTATTAAATGGAAAATAACAGCTGAGGATGCCCCTGAGTAGCCAGATTTCTCTCATAAGCTCTGATCAAATGTGACCAGTAAGAAGACGAATGATGAGATTTTTAGCACTTCTGGGGTAGAGTCAGTCATACACAATGTGTTACTTGGGATTCAAAGAGTTAATACCTAAAAAAAATTGTATTACTTATAAATCCTTCTGATCCTGAAAGGGTTAAAGTAACATTTGCAAATTCAGACAATCTGAAAACAACAACGGTTATGCTACTGAAATTTTCAGGTTGCAGACACTTCAACTCTGATGATCACATATGCTAAGACTCTGTTTTACACTCCTCCTCCTCCGCTTCCTCTTCTGCCTCCGCCTCCTCCTCATTGTCATTCCAGCTTTCTTGAACAATGGCGGCCACTTTCTTCTCGTACTCCCGGCGATTCTCTCTGTACAGCTGGGCTGCCTCGTTATTGGCAGGGCTATTTGGGTTTGGATCGTGGAGCAGAGACTGGAGAGAAGGAACAAAATTCACAGCCATGAATGTCAGTAAACCAGATCAAAGTTGTGCTTACTAGTACTCATAACTTACACACACAAAACACACATGCACATACACACACACAAAAACTCCTCTCCATGATTCTGTATTCCAAAAGAGCCATGAGAAGTAGCACACTGGCATCTGATATGACAATTCTTATTTATCTTGAGCATTAATGCTTAAAAGGCTGGTTGGCATGCTACTTTGTAGTTCAAAGCTAGGCTGCAATATCTGTCCCTTTCAGCCCAAAACATCTAATTTCAGCTAACCCTTCACAAGTTGCCTTTTCCAATATGCTTGCCTTCAGGCGGTTAGTCTATTCTTTTTTTTTTTTCTCTCTCAAAATGGGGCCCCAGAAACCCCATGAGAACATTATGACAATCCCCTGCTGACAGACTTTCTCGTAAAATACAACATTCCACTGATTTAAAACTCTCCATACTCCCTAGATATTGCTTTTTGCGACTCTTCTAATTCCCACAGCTCAGAAGAATGTAATGAAATGTTGCTGATATTGAAGAGATTCAGGCAAGTTGCCGATATTGAAGAGATTCAGGCAACGTAATGAGAAAACAGAGCTATGATGGAAGAAGCCTACCAGAGGGAAGAATGTTGGAAAAAGTGTATTCAGTTAGAAAGGCATTACTCTGAAGGAGATAAGCCCACTAACGAATAGGCCTACTGTCTTAATCCACACACAAAAATGCAATACCAGAACTTTACGATCAGCCCTTATTGTATCACTTTAACCTATTGTGCATGTCGTAAGAGACTACTAAGGAGGGTTGGACCTGATTATCTCTTCCTGTTGGAAACTTTAGGTGAAAAATCCAACAAATTATTTAGAGCAAACAGAGAAGAGCTTGACATGATTTGGCTGAGTGCCTATGCTCCAGTGGGAGATGAAAGGAGTAAGAGATCCCACCATTCCCTTACAAATGTAACAATCATAAAACACAACTTTTGCACTGAATTTCATTAAAGTTACGATCTTCCTCATCCTCTTCTCTTATAGGTCTATGTTATGTTAACACAACTAATATCTTTGTACACTGTATTCCCATGCATGCTCAGTCCTCAGATGCAGCAGCAACTCCAAGGTACCTCAATAGTCTTTGCTACAGCTATTCAACTGGTGGCATGTGGGCCAAATCTGGCCCACAGAGGCCTAGAAAGTTGTCCGCAGATCACCTGCAAACTGTATTGTATTAAGGATCTTTCTACGCTGGGGCTTGGCGACAAAGGCTGCCAAAACAATTGGTCACCATCTCGCTCCTACATAGCCCAACCACAGTGCTCGCTCCCCTCACAAAAAATACAATGTATCCTGGATTGGAAACACACACGCACAAATAGCAGCCCATGATGAGAAAACAGAATAATGTGAGAGAAATCACAGCCAGCGAGAAATAACATAGCTGATTGTTGCCACCTTGAAAACAGAAGTTTCCCCGTGCCATGATGATAATCACCATTCTTGATCTTTCTTTGTCTCTCTTCTACTCCAACTTTCCAACTATCACAAAGTACCTCAGTTGTTTCCTTCTCAAAGATTGCCTACAGGGTGACCCATCAGTTTCCATGCAAAGAAAAAAACAACACATCACCAATGCCATTGCAAGCATAATTCCAACTATGCTTATACATGCTCTTTAGTGTGCACTGAAATACGTTTTCAAAACAATGCTTGTCATAAGAAGCATATTATATAAATTAAATGGGTTTCTTCTTCTGCCTTTCTATCCCCCAATGAAGCATAGGCCCTCAACCAACTCATGCCAAGTCGTTCTATCCATCGCCATTGCATAGAGCTCTCCCCATCTTTCTAACTTCATTCTCCAGCTCTCTTCTCCTTGTGTTTTTTGGCCTTCCTTTATTCCTATGCCCCTGTGGGTTCCAATGCAAAGACATTCTGGTTTTGCCGTTCTCCTGTTTTCTCAGTGTGTCCAATCCAGCACCAGCATCTTTTCCTCACCTCTTGTTCCACTGGAGCCTGTTTAGTTCTCTCCCAAAGCTCTACATTAGTTATTCTATCATAAAAATGGGTTTTCTGTTAAAAAAATATCAACTTTCCTTTCTATGAAAACTTATGGACTCCCTGGAACTGCCACTCTCTGCGGCAAATAAGCAGTTTTCTGTCACCTAAATACTTTAAAGATATCGTCAAGACTTTGAAAGAAACATCCTCAATTAGCTGACTTTTACAACATGCATGTTGGTGGGTGCAGGGGACCTGTTCATGTCCCACACAATTGGGCCCTAGAACCCACGCAACAATTATTGCTTGTTAATTATAACAAGTATTACCAAATTTCACTCGTCGATCATCAAATGGTCTCTAAAAATATGAGACTAGCAGCATATCTTCTTTCTTCTTTGTGTTCACCAGCTGTACACTCTGGCGTAAAGTTCTGGTTGTTCGTCCACTTCTGGACTGCAGTCATGCTCCAGAACCTGAGTGTTGCATGTGCATCAGTTTTACAGATCTGATTCAATTGAATGCAGACTGCTGGTTCCTTGCCTCTCAGGCAGATGCACTCCGACTTCAAAGGAAGCTCCCCAGTTAGTCGACTCTTACGACATGCTTTTGGGGAGGCAGTGGGTCTATTCTTGTTTTCCCCACAATAGGGCCCCGGAACCCACACGGGGGACTAGCAGCATATGCCTGAAGGGCTCCTGACATGCAATGAACTGGCTCCTTGACTTACTTTTACTTTTTACAAAATGTCATTACAACAGTAAAACGACTTACTTGGATTGATGTTAAAATGGCAGAAACATCATACGTCGGACTCCATCTGTTCTGTAAAATATCTAAGCATATACTGCCATCTGCATACACTGGGGAGAGAGTTCAAATAAAAATAATAACAACAAATAAACAAGGAAAACAATGATAAAGTCTTAACACATGAAGTTGTCAGAGACTGTGGCGAAGGGGTCTTCAACAATTTTCCCTGTGTGTTGTTGTAAATGGCACAATCTGGGGAGGGGGGAAATGCGTGTGAGCGCGCATTCAAGACACACCCCCTCCCCCATCCCTCCTGTTGTAGAAGTTGACTAATTAGGATCATTCCCTTTAAAGTCAGTGTATATACCAAAGGGGCTTGGAAACCACCAGTCTGCACACAAATAAGCCAAATCTGTAAAATATATGTGCACGCAAAACTAAAGTTCTTGAATAAAACCAAATTCCAGGAGTGGATACAGAACCAGAAATTTATACTAGAAATTACAGCTGATAAACATGAAGAAAAAGAAAAACAGTTTCATAATCTTGCCATACCAGGCTTTGAAGTCATCTGCCAGCGACTTAGCAACAGACCCCTTTGCTCTGATTTGGAAAACTGTATGAGCTCTGTGTGTGCAATGGCAAACTACTGAATGTAAACTGCTTAGTAAACCACAGACAGCTAATAAATACTGGGGTTGGTCTGCGACCTACTGAAGAGGATATAGAATCAAACAATGTTTAAACTACATGAAGTTATATTTCTGATGCAGCTGTGAAAATGGCCGCTTCATTCTTTAGTGTTCATTAGCATTCCATCCAAGAGTTCCAGTTCCTATGGCATTACTAGCATTCTTAATCATTTTCCCTTTCACCAGCTGTAAACTTTGTTGGAAAGTTCAGGGTGTCGTCCACCTCCACAATTTAGTCTTGTTCCAGAATGATCTACTTATCCTCTCACTATGCTGCCACCAAGAGAATAAACAGAGAGGACAGAAAGCAGAAAAAAAAAGATGTATGTGTTTCCTTAGCATCCAAAACTTACCATTGGGATGAAACATCTTGGAGATAAATCGAACCGTTGGGGGCTTGTTTGGATATTCTTCTGTGAATTCAATAGTTAGCTTGAATGTTCCATCTTCAAATGGTGTATCATGAGGCCTGAATATAGAAGAGAGACCACAAATAGTGTATTATGCAGACAGGAGACATGTTACAAACTATATCATGAGGATAGAAGATTTGTTACAAATGGGTATCATGATGGGAGATGTTACAAATGGTTATCATGGTGGGAGATGTTACAAATGGTTATCATGATGGGAGATGTTACAAATGGTTATCATGATGGGAAATGTTACAAATGGTTATCACGATGGGAGATGTTACAAATGGGTATCATGAGGATGGGGGAGATGTTACAAATGGTGTATCATGAGGATGGGAGAGGTGTTGCAAATTGTGTATCATGAGGACATAAGCGAAGTTACAAATGGTGTATCATGAGGACAGAGGAGATGTTACAAATGGTGTATCATGAGGATGGGGGAGATGTTACAAATAGTGTATCATGAGGATGGAAGATATGTTACAAATCATGTATCATGATAACTGTATGGAGAAGAGCTGTTACAAATAGTGTATCATGAGGACAGGAGGAGACAGGTTACATAAAGTACATTATAAGGACAGAAGAAAGGCTACTTTATCTTCTTCTTTGCATTCACCAGCTGTAAACTCTGGCAGAAAATTCTGGTTGTTCATCCACTTCTGGACTTTAGTCTTGCTCCAGAACTTGAGGTTTGTATGCACATCCATTTTACAGGTTTGGCTTATTAAATGTCTCTCAGGCAGATGCCCTCTGATTTCGAAGGAAACACTCCTAATTAGTTGACTTTTCTGACATGCTTGTTAATGAGGCAGTGGATTTATTCTGTTCTTCCTCCACAATGGCAGCCCAGAACCTACATACACAAGGAGAATGCATGAATGAATCAAGAATTGATATCACTGCACTCAGGACATTCCCACACCTGCTACATCCCCTTCTTCAGTAGCCAACAAAGAGTCAACATTATAACAGTACCTGCATCCTGATTAAAAGTCTACACAAGGAGAGAGAGAGAGGATGTTACAAATGGTGACTTATAAGAAATGTATAGAGCGAGGTAACAAATGGTGTGTTATGAGAAATGTATAGAGAGAGATTACAAATGATGTGTTATGAGAAATGTATAGAGAGAGATTACAAATGATGTGTTATGAGAAATGTATAGAGAGAGATTACAAATGATGTGTTATGAGTAATGTATAGAGAGAGATTACAAATGATGTGTTATGAGAAATGTATAGAGAGAGATTACAAATGGTGTGTTATGAGAAATGTATAGAGAGAGATTACAAATGATGTGTTATGAGAACCGTGAAGAGAGATTTAAAATGGTGGGTTATGAGAACCGTATAGAGAGAGGTTAGGAATGATATGTTATGAGAACGGTATAGAGAGAGATTACAAATGATGTGTTATGAGAATGGTATAGAGAGAGATTACTAATGATATGTTATGAGAACCATACAGAGTGAGGTTACAAATGATGTGTTATGAGCATTGGATTGAGAGAGGTTACACATGGGGACAGTGTAGATTCAAACATCAGGTATGCATCCCCTCACAAAGGATACATGTAAAACAACATGAAAAAAATTTCTGGATAGTTCACATGACCTTTACCCAAATAACAGCATTCACAAACTTTCACACAGATACACATTAACATTACATTCACAATGTTCCCTTAACCTCTAACTGAATATGACTGCATTCTCATCTTTTATATGACCTCTCCCTGGATATAACTGCATTCAGACTATCCCTACCTGAAGATACAGTATTAAAATGTTTTCACACAACCCCTACATGAATATAACTGAGTATTCATTTTTTTTTCACATGACCCCTTCTGAATATTACTTCATTTAAATGCTTTCCTAAGACCTCTTTTATGAATATAACTGCATTCAGATGCTTTACTACAACCCTACCTGAATATAACTGACCAATGATATACTTTCACACAACCTCTACCCAAATATAACAATATTCAAATGCTTTCATATAAACTCTACCCAAATATAACTACATTCAAATGCTTTCATATAAACCCTACCCAAATATAACTACATTCAAATGCTTTCATATAAACCCTACCCAAATATAACTACATTCAAATGCTTTCATATAGACCCTACCCAAATATAACTACATTCAAATGCTTTCATATAAACCCTACCCAAATATAACTACATTCAAATGCTTTCATATAAACCCTGCCCAAATATAACTACATTCAAATGCTTTCATATAGACCCTACCCAAATATAACTACATTCAAATGCTTTCATATAGACCCTACACAAATATGACAGCATTCACATGATCCTTACCCAAATATAACTGCATTCCAAAACATGATATTGTTGTCTGACGGGGCTCCACTGACTCCTGCAGGTGGGTCTACTTGTAATCTGGAGACGGGGAAAAAAAAGAAACTATATAGTGAGCTCACACAATTACAGCTGTTTGAATTTAAATTATCCCTATGTGGATTTCAGGGTCCTATAGTGGGAGGGGAGGGGGTAGGGGATGGGGGGGAAGAGGGCGACTGACACCTTTCCATCTTTACAGAGGATAAAGTTATATCTAGAACAAGTCCAAAGTCCAAAAGTGGATGAACAACCAGCACTTTCCACCGAAGTTTACTGGGCGCTAAGAAGCAGGAGAATCAAAATTAATAACATATTTGTCTAGCACTGTGATAATGGTAAAGATTGAAGTCTCATAGCAGAGACTGCCAGTCCCTGTGTGGGTTCTAGGGCCCTATACTAGGGGCACCAAAGAACAGACTCACTGCTCCTTATCAAGCGAAGCATAACAAATGAGTAATCTGTTATCTGACATCGTATGTGTTGGGTCAATATATGCCTATATCGCAGCCTAGCTGTAAACCACAAAGTAATGTGCCAACCATCCTTTCAAGGCTGAGCATAAAAGAAGTGTCAACTCTTCACATGTTTTAGTCCATTATATTTGAGGTAGTATGGCATGTTGTCGGCTCTGTGGCTAAGTCGATGCGAACGCTTCATTTCGTAATGCCGGGATGCCAGGTTCGATCCCAGCTGCGGGCAATGCGCCTTGCGTTGGTTTCGAGTGGTATCAAGAAAGCCGACCGTCCAGAAAGCAATGACAAACTACTGGATGCAAATTGCCTAGTGAAACCACACAAAAGCCAGGGGCTGTTAGGGTTGGTTCTGCAACGTCCTTTAAAAGATACACAAATTAGTATGGCATGTTACCATGCTTGTCGCCTTTCTTTCCCAGACGTGTTGCAGAAAAGTATGCAAACTGGCATTTATTTTCATGTAGCTGGGACAGCCTTAAAGCTGCACTCGTAAGAAAAGCTTCTGTCACCTTTAGGAATTGATCCTGAACTATTTGTCTTGGCAGGCAAGTGCACCAACTGACTTCACTGGACCAGATTTAATGCCCGCTGATTCGGCCCCTATCTGCAAACTGGCTGCCTGTTTGCTGAAAGCTTCACCCAGAAACTCCACAGGCCCCAGTTATAAAACCTGGGGTTCTCCAAAATGAGTGTACTTATGGACCAAATATCACTGTACACCAACAGACCCAAGACTTGCACAGCTTTCGGAAAAGAGATTCTTCGGACTTAGGCTTGAGTTAGAAGTAGAACGGACCACTTATGGGTAACACCCGTGTGCCTTGATGTCGATCCATTGAATAAACATAGAATAAATATAAGCGGCTGTCCTCTGAATAACGGTTCCAAATTATGGAGGCCGAATATATACCCTAACAGGGCCTCAGTCACATGTAAATTGCAGACCTCTTCCTGCCACTATACCGCCACTGCTGAGAGTATCTCCCGCGCCGCTACGTGCTGCGTGGAGTGAGGCTAAACTAGATGGCTGGGACTCATGAGCAAATAAAATGGAAGAAGCTGCATGAGATGCTGTAGCTGCTGCTCGTGAGTTCCAGCCATCTAATTTAGCCCTGCTCCGCGCCGAACATAGCGGTGCAGGATATACTCTCGGCAGTGACTTTAACTACGTGGAAGAGGTCTGCAATTTACGAGGGCCTGTTAGGGTATATTTTCTACCTCCATAATTTGGGACCGTTATTTTGAGGATAGCCAACATAAGCTTTCGGAAAAGACTGGATTCTAGAAACGAAAATCAAAAACCAACAAATGAGCAACAATTCTGGTGAGATTAAATAAACATTGCTTTTCACTCTGCATTTGTATTTATAAAAGGCAACTGGCACACTGTGCTTGGTTTACAGCTAGGCTGAGATATCTGCACCTTTTTTTGCCAAATCCTATAAACATCCTGTTTAAAGTTACAATTATTAGGGCTGTGGTGACAGCTGGACCAAGGGATGCACCCCTTCAGTCCTGTGTTGGGGATACATTTCTTCTTCTGTATTAGCTGATAAAACGGTGTCTGGCACGTTGTGTGGTTTACAGCTGCTAGTTTTGAGCTAAGCTGCGATATATCTGTCTTTTTTTTTTTTTTGGCCCAACACACCTAAATGTAAGAAACCTCTAAATTAGTCAATTAGTCGCCTTTTACGACATGCTTCCTTGTAAGTGATAAATCGATCTATTCTCTCCCCGGAGCCCAGACACGAAAGGGCTGAACAATCCGAGAACAACCATAAACACAATTAGTTACTAAACTAACAAACAGTCAGCACAAGGACAACACCAGTGAGTAACCACTAATTATGATTTATTACGTAAGAACACAAACATCAAAACACTAGTTAAAAACACCCAATATCCGACATCACAGCTACCTTTTGAAATCCCTCATGAGTCGTCGTCTGGCTGGAGTGGTCATGTTAGAGATCTGACAGCTACAAGATAAGCCTGTGTGAGAGAAGAACCAGAAATTGACGACCAACAACAACTACCCTGTGATCCTCTTGCAGAAGTCTTCCATAAATTGTAGACTCACATCCGGGTGAGCTATGACATCATGTCCGTTCTTAAAATATGAATGGGGTTTTCCACTGGACCGTTCCGTTCTTCTTGAAGTCTCCGCCTTGTGTTGATAGTAGTTATTTTTGTCCACAACCTTCTATCATGTACTGCTAAATATTTCTGAAACACATTTCCCTCATTGTCATGGTGCTTAACTAATATCTTATATCTTGGTATCCCCATATATTTCTTTCTTTGCAGATTCCCTTTAGTTCAACGTACACCAGGTTTTTCCTATTCCCATGACGTGTCCAAAGAATATAGATTTTCTACTTCAAAGGTGGGAAACCATTTCTCTAGTTGAGTCAGTTTTATTCGAGCCATCTCTTTAAAAAAAAAATTGGTGTTTTCATCATTCTTCTTAAGACTATGCTTCAGCAGTGTATGTGTGTGTAGTCAACTTTATCTATAATTTTTTTTTACCCCACTAGGACATCACACAAGGGTTAAACATCCGATGACACAAAGTGCCACCATGTGGGTGAGGATCACCCGTGGAGAAACCGCGTTCAGCCTTTAGGCCATATTTATGTCCAGTTTACATTGGGGCCCCTGGCAAAGCCAGAGTAGGGCTTCAAATAACGAAAAATTTCATCCTAAAAAGGACGAGAAGTAATAGTAATAGCTATTTAACTTTCACAACTGACTTTCTACCCCACCAGGACATCACACAAGCGATAAACACCCGATGACACAAAGTGCCACCATGTGGGTGAGGATCGCCGTGGAGAGATCCCAGAAACCGCGTTCAGACAATTAGCCATATTTATGACCTGCCTATATTGCGGCCTCTGGCAAAAGCCAGGATGGGGCTTCAAATAACAAAATATTTCGTCCTAAAAAGGACGAAACACCTAGTTTTTTTTTTAAAGCGTAATATAGTAACTTTCACAACTTCTGTAGTAAATCTTGGTCTTCTGTGTCCAGTTAATTGATGACGTGTAAAGCAAAAATAAACACGTGAAAAACAGTAAGTACATTATATGTCATCTGTACAGAACACAATATAATAAAAACACTTTAAGTTGCAGCGACAATAGTTTCCCAGAAAGTTTTTCTTCTGGTTGTGTTGCGATTTACAGCTAGGCGGCAATATCGCCAACTTTCGGCCCAACACATCCAACTTCAACGAACACCCAATTATCACCCCTTTACGACATTTGCAGACAGCTCGTTTCTATTGCCAAGTACTTGAAGACGTCGGCTTGCTTCAGACCAGTCCCAATTACTCTTGATACTGTATTCTGTGTCGTACCTGTAATAGACTCTGAAAGCAGACTGAGAAAGGAGAAGACAGGGATGTTCTGAGCAGAGTGGCAAGCTTCACTGGGAAGGTCACGAGTAGTGAGCATACTTTGGATCCTTTCTCCGGGCAATGCCGGTGTGGTGGGTAATGAACAGGCGGTAGATTGGCTGGATCTGCACCACTAAGTGGTGAACTGATACATGCCAAGGCAAATTTGGTCAAGGCCCTTTGGGAACAGGCAACGGAATCAGTACAGAAAGAAGATTATTATGGCCTGGAAAGAATGAGGCACCTGGGTGGAACTAGAGGGTCTGACCGGCTCACTCCACTCAGAGGAAAGGCAAGACGGACATAAAACCAGATTGTGACCGGTACTATCAGTATTGGAACTCTGCGCTGGCTGCTGAAGATAAGGACGGGACATGCATGGGAATGCCCCGAGTGCTGTGATGTCAATTCTTGACTCAACAACCTCAACTCTGTGATGCTATTTTCGCAACTGCTAGATATCAATAATCACTACTTGATCATTTGACTAAATCCTCAAAGAACATGATTTATATAACATTTCGCAATCACTTAAAGAATTCGTGAAAATTAAAAATAACTTTCAGCTGTGTTAAAATTTAACATAACAGCACTCTGGGCATTTCCACAAGCTATGTGTCCATATCGCCAGCATCTTGGACAAAGTTCCCATTATGATGTAGCTGAATGATTATAAGTTCGTATTGTCGCGTGCCATCCAAATCCCTTGGTCACTCCCAGTTGCACAATCATCTTACGACTGTGAGGATCTATTCCAGCTTCTGCCTTGTTCACTTGCTCCCAAAGGGCCTTGACCACACTCACATTTTCGTGCACCATTTCACCATCACCTGGTACAGAAGCAGTAAATATGTCCACCTGTTAGTTTCCTAATACACCAAGATCCAACAGACAATAATGTACAACTAAGAGCTGAAACGCTGGCCGCTTTTACTTTCCGTAATACTTCCCTGCGATATTAGGCTGGGTCGGGGTTGAAGTCTTGAATAAGATTTATATAAACTAGCCTGAATACAAATAAAATACTGGACAGACACGCTTTGCTGGCCACTTCTCTGTCGCCTCAAACTGCAAAGTAAACGACCCTTTTTTACGCCTTCCGACCTATTGGGTAAAACGGGCTAGAATAGTTGCGTATCCTTTACATGACGTTGCAGAACCAACCACAACAGTAGTTTGCCATTTCTTCTGGATGGTCGGCTTTCTTGGTACCACTGTGGAAACCAACGCAAGGAACATGGCCCGCAGGTGGGACCGAGCCCGGCATTCCGGCATTGCGAAGCGTCCGCATTGACTTAGATACAGAGCCAACACATGGGGTTAGTCCTATATTTTATAGACCGAACGGCATTTGGTGGGTGTTATGATCAGCATCACGCCGGCCGCCTTTACTTCACAAGACTGTACCTGGTACCCACTCAAGGCTGGGTTGACCTGTGAGCCAAGGTCATTTTTTAAGAAAAGAAAAGTCCGGTCCCCGTCAGGACCCATGACATTCCGATCCACAGGCGAGCGTCTAGCCCCTTTTTAAACTTAAGATAAAGTTAATTCTGAAAACAAAACAACAGTGTGTGTCACCTCTTACAGATAACAGGAGACAAGTGTGTGCATTATCTCCATGCATGTAAAATATTTACACACAGGCTGATCACATGTCCCCAGTTTTACCTGGGCATTCCCGGTTTGCGATATTCTGATTATGTCCTTGTAAACCGAAAAACTTTATAGGGTCGCAAACATGAATAGTCTCTTCTTGTTTCCATCTGCATAAATGCGGTGGCAGCGAGTCTTAGAAGGTCAGTGAACAAATTAAGAAGAATTTAGTGTTAACATAAATCTCCCCAAATAGAGTAGGTCACTTTTCATTCACAAGTTTGTTATGCTAGTAGTGTAGTAGACTTTTCTTAAGGTTACGGGTGTGTCCTGCTCTGTTGTTTGCTTTCTGTTTTGTCTTGCACTTACGTTTTCATTCCGAGAAAGAGAATGCCTGTGACATAGGTTGCAGCGCTCTCTAGGGGGGTTTATGTTAGAGCCAGTTGCTCCATGTTTTTGGAGCGTTAAAAAGCACTGACGATATCAAAGGTATCGCAGAACACCCCTCTCACATTGTGCGAAGTTCAAGAGGCTCAGGAACTACCAATCAGAAGTGACCTAGTGTGCATATAGGCGGGGCGTGGGGAAATAAACGTTACGTGTTCCGAATTTGGAAGTAACAGCAACAGAGATGTAATTTCTGTGACGAATATTATGAATACCTTGGACGGCCAGAGTAACTAACAACGATTGTTTAAGATCTCTATATACAACAATAAGAATGAGACACTGTTCTTTGGCCACGTAATGAGAAAAGAGGCATTGAAAAACATCTTGACAACTGGAAAGATCAGTGAAAAAAGTAATAGAGGCAGACCAAGAGAGCTCATGCTGGATGGGCTGAAACGCTCGCATGGAGGTGTCATAGCGGGAAGAAATAAGAGAAAAAATACAGAAGTAAGAGAGATAAGTAGGGGAGATAAAGTAAAACTGTGATTGGGACAAAACGTAATAGTTCCCCCGTAAACATCAAAAACAGGAAAGTAAAGAAAAGACAGGGGTTCTTCTGCGCAGAGATACTAGAATATTTCACTAAGACTCAGACAAATAATATCTGTATCGTGAGTTACATAACTACATGGCTACATACACCTAGACGAACCACGTACACGGATTATAGATCCTAAATTAAATCAAGCAAATGAATTATAATCATCCCATTAGACAGCTGTTTATTTCACTTAACATAAAATCGGCGTGGTTCACAAATAACAACATTAACAACAACTAACGTGCTAGACCAGAATCTAAAATGCTAATCATCTCCAGCTAACAAGGAAATATGACACCATAAGCTTAGCGAGATGTTCTCAACAATGGCAAAACCCGAAACATATTTAACATGTACGTTAAGCTTCAATATGTAAACAAATCACTTATAGCGACATGCCATCCTAGTGATAATACACCCCGACATATTACACAGTATAACTACTGGAGACAATTTTAGGGCTAACTATGGAAACATACCACCGCCACGAAATCAGCCTGACAACCAGCCTTCCCCTGCAGTCGCCCGGCCCACGCTGTCTACCCCACTGTGCAGAGCCGCAACAACTAGGTCGGTCTTCTGCAGGGTCGGTCCGGAAGCCAAATAGGCAAATACCGAATGAGCCTTTTTATACACAGTGGCTATATTTTTTCGCTTTCGTAAACCAGACTAAATGAAGGTATCGGCCAAACAACCAAAATCGACAAGCTGCTCAACAGCAGTATTTGGCGTTCTCCAGCCTATCATAGAGGGATATCAGAGAGCTGTTCCAGGCAAACAGGGATCGTAATCTATGGTCTGCCTCTACTCTTCTTTACACTGATCTTCCCAGTTGTTACGATGTTTTCCAATGTCTCTCTTATCATTACGTAACCAAAGAACAGTGTTTGTCTCCTTCTTAAATTAAATCATACGTTATGAAAACTATAAGGGAATAAATAAACAAGCGAAACTGTAATTTCAATCTAATGATGCATCTAAACTTGGGTAAATTCTTATCGCTTATGAGATTCGATTTGTTATGTCTCACAGCGAGATAAAGCACGTAAAAGTCCTACTAAACCCACCGTCCTGACTATTTTATGTTACAATCACATCTTAAACCATAACATTACACAAGATAACATAACATAACCCTTGGCCAGTTATGGTCATGGGGGCATTTCAATAGAAGTACAATCATACAAAACCTGCCGTCTAAGTCTTCCGCTTGTTGAACAAGTGTATGATAATTCAGTCTTGTTCATTTCTTGATGTCATCAATGTAGGTTCTTGTTATAACAAGAACATAACATAACTCTTGGCCGGTTACGGTCATGGGGGTGTTTCAATAGAAGTACAATCACACAAAACCTGCCGTCTATCTAAGTCTTCCGCTTGTTGAACAAGTGTATGATAATTCAGTCTTGTCCATTTCTTGATGTCATTATTGTAGGTTCTTGTTACTACCACCCCCCCCCCAACTTGAAGTACATAGTGTTTGCAATCAAATCATGTCTTATTACGTGCCCGAACCAGACTAGCTTCAAACGATGCTCGTGATGTCCTTCAAGTGGGTTTGTTGTGTCTCTCATTTATTTGTTATTTTTATGTTCTAAAAGATACTTCGCAAAATTAGTCTATGGGGACGATCAGTTGAGGTATTTTGGGGTAGCAGCTGCATCGAAGGAACGAACACGCGTGAAAATGCTCAATGTGCAGAAACATCAATTGTGATTTTTTTTTAATCAAGTGTACTTTTAATGCATGTAATAAAGAAGTGCAAAATCTTAACAACAATGTAAGACATTAACCATTCTATCACCCAATAACAAGACAATGAAAATGATGGTCAAATACACAGCATGCACATCCTATTTTTCAATATAGTCAATCAATATATGCTACAGATCCTCATATTTATGATACAAATGAAATTTAACTGTCAAACTTTCCAAGGAGGTCACCATCTCTGAATAAGAAATATTCCTTTTCTTCTAATTCCACCATACTCAGGAAGCAATACTCGGTCCCCCAACTTTGACACTTGGTACAACAATAGTGCCACTATCTTTCCGTGCACCAGGACCGATTGCAACAACTGTAGCCTCAACAACTTTTCCTTGTGCTTTCTCAGGAAGCACACATATTGATACCCACTGTTAGAGATCATGAGATTCGAAGCAGCAAAAAGCCAGCCGCAAGCTGAAAATGTGTGTTCCAAAATGTGGTCAAACTGCGCAGGATTCAACGCTGATAAGACAAAGATGTGTGTATGACCTTGCCGGTCCGTGGCTCGCTAACTAGGCCTATGACAGACAGACTAACCTTCAACGCAACAGAGCACACACGTCTTTATTGGTCACAATACATAGACAGTTGACTTCCCGCCGTACCTATTGCCTGGACCCTCTGGCTGAAAAATCGCCCCGTCCCCAGTACGTGCGACAGGCATCTCAAACCACAAAGATACGCTCTCTTCTATCGGGCTGCCCAATCAAACTGTCACAGTCTCTGATTAGTGCAACGTTGCCAGAGAAAACATAAATACTAACAAGAACTTACATACACAAAACACATATATCCAGTCACTAAGAACAATACTATAACAGCTGTATTGTCCTTCTTCCTGACCGACGCACACCGAATGAACACCTCGTGTCTCTTAACCCCGCGCTCTAGGTTTGTTACTAAATCACAGTTCCGGCTTTCTTGCTTTATCCTGAGCGCTAAACACTTGAGTAATGCAACTGATTACGGTGTGGTATGTGACTTAATAGGGTTTGTGACAAGCTTTATGACGTATGCACATATTTTTTTAATAACAAAATGGGTGATTACTAAAGATAATACAAAGCTATTTAAAAAAATTTACAATGAATGAACGATAACAGCTAAACAAGTTTTTGCCCAAGTTCTTTCTTTATTTATACTCGTAAAAATAAAATTAGATGGTAGCAAATAATTTTTCTTCTTCGCGCTCACCGGCTGTAAACTCTGGCGGAAGTTTTGATTGTTCGTCCTCTTCTGGACTCCAGTCCTGTTCCTGAAACTGAGTGTTGAGTGCAAATTCGTTTCACAGGCCTGACTCGTTTGCATGCAGACTGTTGGTTCCTTGTCTTTCTGACAGATGTACTGCGCTTCGAAGGAAGCTCCTAATTAGTCGACTCTTACGACATGCTTTTGGAAAGGCGGTGAGTCTATTGTTGTTTACCCCCACAACTGGGCCCCGTAACCTACACATGGGTAGCATTTACAAAGACGCAGCCATTTCTTTCAGGTTGTGCTAGCGTTAAAGTCCAGAGGATCGTTTTCATTGCAACGGAATGTATCCCGCATAGTTCCGTCTTCATCACTGGAACGGCTAGCCGCCTGTCGAGGGCATTGTACAAAGCATGGTATTCGCAGCTCTGACCACAAAGAACAAGGGGAAGACAATGTAATAGGTGGGTGAGCATCATGAAATGGGCTGGAGAAAAATGGTAAGAGTGCACCATGCAGATGTAGAACAGAACTATCGACATCCGACGTGAAAGAGTGGGGGGGGGGGGGGGGGGTCTGTAATGTTTTGTTCTGTTATGTTTTTCTCCTCGTAAAGTGTCCAAGACGATGATTACCTCTGTCAAAAGGCGTCGAAACCTGGGGACTCAGTTTCTTTAAGCATCCAATTTGTTTCTTAGGGTTTCTGATTTCCACTGCTTCAATTATTAGCTCTTTGTTGAAGAGGGCTAATTTTAAACACCAATACCAGCGATTTCTTTTGACTTCTAAAAAAATCTACAGAAAACCCACCTATTTCAATGCTACTGCCGAGTTGCACTTCCCCTAAGATTAATAGTAAGGTAGTACTATTTTTAGAGCGTATGTGTTATCGGGGTTTTCCTGGCTCGAAATAACAAAGTAGGTTTTGGGTCAGAAAAACTGTCTGAGGTGGTGGCAGAAAATGTGTGTTGTTCACATAGGTGCGAAACCTGGGCAAATGTGTAAAGCGAGGAGGGACGGGAAGGTGTGATTGCCCCGCCCTCCCTAAATGTTAACCTAATGGCGGTACGTCTGACTCTTATCCAGTGCTCGTGAAAAGTTGTCTTCAGGTCTTAGCCTCTTTTAATACTACATTAATCATAGCTTTCCTTTTAGTGTTGACAGTAGGAGTAGTTTTCGCGTAAATAATACCGGGTCCAACCTGCAAGTGTATTAACTGGGATATTTTTATTTTAAAGTTATACCTTTGCTATGTAGTATTTTTTATATAACAAAGCAAGATATACATTGATGTTATGAGTATCAGATAACTTGTATTTAATATTTAAATTTTGTTTTTTTTGTAGTAAAAGAAGCAGCGGTAGTAGCGGTAGCAGCAGCTGCTTAATTCTTGACACAAATATTTTTTAAATAAAAATATCCCGTATAACCAGACGGTTGAGGTATGTAGTGTCTATTGTATTTTTATGTACATTCTGTATACAGTTGCTAGTATGTAATTCTCTTTCGTCTCGATTTTCTTTGTTTCTGTGACTATGGATCAATAACTGTAAAATTATCTGTAATGCTTTTTTCAATGTGTTTGAAAGGCTTCGCAACAATTATTTCTGTGCTGTGTACTGCCACGCCCACTTTTAAAAACCTCACTTCCGGCCCATTGCGTCAATTTCTAAAAGTAGCATGATATCACGTGACAAGAAACGAAGGCTGCATTGGCCAAAGTCCAACAACGCTCAGAACGAGGTCTACTATCCCACAATGCATCGCGACACAACGACCATGGCAGTTCTAATGGTTCTCCGCTAGAAGTATTTTGTTTTTTTTTTACGTGATTAACTAGCAGTAATCAAAATAAGACATTTATTTCTGTGTTCAGAAAACTTGTTTCTTCAAACATTTGACAAGATAAAATGTCGGACGACGTTACAGAAAGCTTTCGTTCATCCCTCGATGACTTGAAGATGAACAGCAAGCCTCAGATCAGTATGCTGACGATGTTGGCTGAAGACCACGAGCAGTACGCCAGTGATATCGTCAGGGTCATCGAAGAGCAAATCAAGAAGGTTCACATTTGTGTTTGTTGTTTTGTTAGTGTGCCTTTAAGATAGTAAGATTTAATTTATCAACGAGCGCGGTGATTTATTCCTAATAGATAAGGCTTGAATGTTTATTTTAAAAATGGCAGTCATGTTTTCAAGTTACTACTACTACAACGTCATGGTCACGTTGATGCAGGTCATATCCGGGAGTTCATCAAAACTCCGGCCAGGCTTGCTTGTGATTTACTTTTATATGATGCCTTTAGTGACTAAATTAGTCGGTCTTTATAGTCTTTTGGGGAAAAAAAAATTTGATTTCACATATGTTTTGTTAGGGCTGTGCACATATTCAGGTGGTTTCACAATTCATTGTTTTTTACACTCATTTTTGTTAACCACTCGAAAATGAAAGAGTGGAAAAACCTTGCAGGCTATTCCAGTATGCACTCATCACGCAAGTTAGTAAATATATTTTTATAGCTTTTTTGACGTTATTAAAAGGGGATGGATGGGGTGGTTTAACATAACTCTGACCGCCTGTTTCACTGAGGGCATTTCTTGGCTATCTTCCGAATAACGTTCCAAAATTATCGAGGCCGGAAATATACCCTAAGTGAGCCTCAGTTACATGTCAGTTGCGAACTTCTCGCCACCGCCGAGATTATCTACTGCGCTGCTACGTGCGATGTGGATTTGTGCTAAACTTGATGGCTGGGACTCACAAACAACAGCTACTGCATCTCCTGCAGCTTCCTTTATTTTATGTGCTCGTGAGTCCCAGCCATCTAGTTTAGCCCTAATCCATGCATAGCGGCGTCTGAGATACTCTCACGGTTTCAGAAGTCTGTAATTTCCATGTGACCGAGGCCCTGTTAGGGTATATTTTCGGTCCCGGTAATTTGGGACCGTAATTCAGAAGATAGCTTTTTTCTTAGCACACATTTTAGGCAGGATCGACATCAAGACAACAGAGCTGAAGACTTGGGGAACAAGACTAGTATCTCAGATTCTCGTCACTTTTCTCCCACCACTTGTTCAGAGCTTTCAGAGTCACTCTAAAAAGTGACCCACAAATAGATAGAGCTGATATTCTGATAAAATAAAATCCTGTTGTAAAAATCATTTTTAAATTGTATTATATTAGTGTAACTTGAGGCCTGGGGGACAATTTTCTGATCACCTTGTGACGTTTCATTTTTGAGAGAGATACTGATATTTTAAAACAATTTGGTTAGGGCAGTATCCAGTGGTAGTGCATAAAATAAATCTCAACAAATGCTTTTACTTTATAAACCGAGAAATAATTGTCCATGAACTCTTTGTTATTGATACTGAAAAAAAATGAACAAGATAGGTGCTTTTTTGTTAAAATACATATTATTGTAACTCCCCCACTTCAGTTATATTTATTGGCTCATATTGTGCCTGGAGATGGGGACATGTCATTTAGGCGCTGCTGTATTTGCTGTACCCACTAGCAGTAAACAAATTTAGCCGATCCTTTCCTGAATGTCACTGACCTCACAGAAGCCTGAAAGCCACTCGCTGTCTTGCCAACTTTTATTTTTAAGTTGTCCTTGATATCCAGTGTGCACTATCTTGCTAGTCAACCCATCTGATCCTCTTTGACCCTTGTCCTCCTTAGTTCTCTCCACTGAAGATTCACATTTTCTGGTACTTAGAGGGCAGTACAAATATATCAATAAAATTAGCAAATATCCAATTTTCTAATAATCTTCCATAACAGTTATGAATTTATACTGAATCCTGCTAACTGAAGTTATTGTGTTGCTGTAGTACATTGCATTTTTATTATGCTTGGCTCAAGGGAGACAATGCTAATTTAAAATTGTTTATTCTTGATAGCAGTTGAGTGTTTAAACTATTTTTAAAATAAACATTCACAAAATATGCATACATTACTTTATTTTCAATTACATTTATCTATTTTCAAAGAGTAAATATATTTAAATAGAGTTGAGTAGTAAAAGATATATTTATTATATATTTACTGCTAACACATACACACATACTTCCTTCTGATCTGTACGTCAGCAGTAAATTACCCCTCTCCTGACACCTTACCACATACACACAATCACATAGATGCATATTCCTCTGATCTGTCAGTCAGCAGTGAATTAGCTCCCCCCCCCCCCCCCTCTCCCACAATCACGCACACAATCACATAGACGCATATACATCTGATCTGTCATTTGATAAAACATTCTTATAATTCTAATTTTCTTAGTTTGTCTGATTTCGGATGTAATTATATTGTGCCTGTTTTCCTTGCCATAATGTAGTAGGACCGTTACAGAGCCTGAGAATGTCACTGTCATCACAGCTTGCTTGAAAAACTGGTCTCTCAATAGCTATCCAACGTCATGCGCTTTCTCACTTTACTGTCTTGTGCCCATCTTTATGCAGTTCAGCTGCAGCCATATTTCCTGTACCATGTCCTCTGCTTCTGTTCTTTCTAATCAACCCTTGTGCTTGTTTTCAGTAGCTACAGTGTCTGGGCCTTCTATTTAACACACCCAACTACTCATTTGTTTCGGTCTAGTCTTTCTGGGCAGTTTTGTAGAATATTTAACAACTTCTTGGTGGTGAGGGATTGAGTGACCCTCTAAGCCTCTACTGGTACATTTTTATCAGCATATTTGGCCAATAATTTATGCAGTGATAGTACACAGGATTCAGATTATCTCTGTGACATCTTTCTTAATATTGCCTTTTTTAATGTCCTGTAGGACACTTACGCAAAAGCTGTGATAATTTGGCATTGTGGTTGCGTTAGCTATACACATCTTCACATGGTTATTCCAACAGATTTTAGATATAGTATCAAATATGATTCCAGGTTTTATCTATACTTTATGGATTATATCATGTTGCTAACTGAAGCCAAAGAATATTACTCAGTGTTTCAACGAAGTTTAGACACCTATTGGTTAGTTATAGTATAATACGTCATTAGTGGATGGGCCTGGCTATACACATGTACGTATTGCATACATGATACAAATAGCACATTGACAAGTGCTATAACAAGGCAGAGTAAGACATACTGCTTCATGTGAGGTCTATTTGCTGTAGTTGTTGCCTTTTCTGTCAGATTGCCTATGCTTCTGTGTGTTGTCTTCCTTTTGCAGTTAATTACATGAATTTCCTAGGTGGGTGTGCACTATTTAGATATTTGACTGGAGACATTGTTTCCTGAATAGTCACATATTTGGCAGATAATCTATGCAGAGTAGCTTGTCTCTCAATTTTTAGGTTGAGATCTCCAGAGAAACTTTTATAGAGAAAGTTGAATATTCTGTGCATAAAACATAACCATACTCATTGTGGAGGCATGATTTCATGTAGCTGTAATTTCTATTTTTTCTATTCAGTGTCCTTGTTACACTTAAAATACATTTTGTATATCCTTTTTCTGTGGGATGTGGTAGTCAGTCGTTTTTGTCAGCCACCCTTAGACATCACTTATAACATAGTTGACGGTGTACTAGTCTTTGCCCAAATGAATTTAGATGTATACACAATAGTGGTGCTTGCTTATCTTTGTTAGTGCATCTTAGCTTTCATTCTGGACAAGCTTTGTTTTTTTTAAATGGCCAAGGTGTTTATTGCTTTTACAAATCCATCCATTGCTTGCAGGGTCTCGCTTTGATTGTTTCTCTATTTGTGGTATGCTTTCAGAATCTCAAAAAGTCTTTGTCTTATTCTAATTTGGTTTTCATTCTCTGTTATATTTTACACCTGGATGTCAGTACTTCCTGACTTTGTGGATAATGTTTCAGGAAAATATCTCCAGAAGATATGTGAGTGGACAGACCCTTTTATTGTAGAAGTTTACATAAATATCTCCAACATAGTGGTTGCCTTTTTAAGCTTGTTTTCTTTTAAAATCAAGACATTTGTTAGCGTTATTTTCAGCGCATGTGACTTTTGCTTAGGTGTTTGCCGGTTTGCGATGTTTGTGTTTTTCTCACACTTACTCTTCTTACACAACCATTTAAAGCCAGCCCTGCTACCATTGTAAGAATAGAGATATAGAATATACATTATACAGATATAAGAATTATAGTTTTATGCATTAAAGATAGTTAACCAGCATTTAAGTTTCATTATTTGTGGGTTCATTGAAACTGCTGGCAGATATACTATATTGAACTGTTTTAACATGTTTCATGACAAATAACACCAGTTTGCATACATTTACAGAGTTCAGTCTGAACTGACAGTCTTCTGTTGCAGATTATATTTCACTGATATTGAGATTGCAACCAATAAATATTTTAGACTAATGTGCTTTTACTCCATTTGATGTAATTTGTTTTTCAATAATGTTGTTTGCTGTGCTGTGATGTTGTCTGTGTTCGGGTTTGTGGTTGTTTTTGGTAATGTTAATTGTTTGCTGTTGCAGCGTGTGAATGCAAGTTATTGCAGCTGCACCTTTGCAGTAGAAAAAACAAAACACCGACTTGTCAGACATAACTTTATACACATCACAGATCTTCCCACTGCCGATGGATAGAAACATTACATGGATATTACTTAATCACAGAATCATTTTTATTGACAACAACGGGTTTGATTGACGCTGAAGACAAGGAAAAAAACTTCCACATTATATATAAAAAAAAGAGTTAACATCGTACGAAAATCCAGATAAAAGTTGGATGACCTACCAGGGCTGATAATAAATAAAATACTTTTGGTCAGCTACACGTTGCGGACACTCAGCCAAATGTAGGATTCTCAGGGCAACTGAGATAACTTAGCTATTTGGAGAATATTGATATGAATGCATAAAATGGGAATCTTTTCAGTTACAGAACAATTGTATTGAAAAGGCAAGAACATGGATGAGTAAAGAAATAGTTACATAAGAGAATATCAGTGTATGTGTGTATGTTTGCATACACATTCACACATCATATTCTGTTCTGCTCTATTCTTACTAATCACTGTTCCTAACTTTTCATTATGATGGGGAAAAATAAAATGCCGAGAGCTCCTTTGACAGTCAGGAATTTCTACAAGTGGTAAAGCCATGCTTGTTACAAAAAAAAAGCATTTATTTTGTTGCCACATTTTGAGTGGAGAAACAAATTAGGAAGTTAGAGAGAAAAGGGTTCTTGGCAATTTTCTGTGGCACAGTAACATGAATTGATGTGTGCTGTTGTTGGCAAGAAGTGAAACATGGCTGACAGTGCTATTTAGCAATGCACTTTAATTAGATAATACTTTAACAAATTCTTTTTTTACCACTATCCTTTAATTTATCTTTCTCCTGTTTTCATTTCCAAGGCAGCTCTATCATTCGAGAAGGCTGAAATATTAATTGAATAAGAAAAAGATTTCTTCTTCTTTTAGTGCTTCTCTCACTATCTCTTTTAATATCTGCAAATTTTGGAAGCATATTTGAACATAAATTTCATAACTTGTCTTTTATCCTAAAAATCAGTGCTCCACAAGATACCACATCTGTGATTTCTCGCCTGCTTTATTTTCTTTAAATTTCTACCTTGTTCTTTGTGGATTCCAGCCCGTGCTCTATGCTGTTAATGCTATGTACATCTGTCCCAGTTAACAGCTTTACAATTTGTTTCAACTCTACTGCTACCACATTGTGTATATAACCAGTGCACTTTACCTGCCACACCAGAGTGGATGCACAGTGAGCTTACCATAGCCAAGCATTACTGACTGCAAGTGAAGCTATTTACCAGTATGAAATTGGGTATACCTAACCACAGCGGGGAAAAAAAAAAAGGGCAAAATGCAAAAATTTTCCGGTAGGTCCAAAAATAACTTTCCCACTGCCTGAATTTAGGCCCAAGTGACTTGGCCCTTTCTGAAATATCAACACATTTAACTGCAAAATGTAATGTAGCTAAATTTGAGAATTGGAACATCCCACGGAAGACCTTCTACAAGCCAACCCTCTCACCCAGAGGTGTCTAATGATTGCAAGACCCTACCCAGCTAGATGATCTGTGTCCAGCCAGCTACCAAGATGTGTGTGTGCTGCAGTCCAGATGTCAAGTGACAAGTGTGCGTGGAGCCTTCCAGCTTCGTTCCTTTCCAATTCTCAAGTTTTACTACTTACTTTTTCAGTTAGGCCGATCTTTTAACACCGAATACACATTGTTCCTCGTGACCCTTGAATATCTGCTCATATTCATTACCCAGGTGTTAAGTTCCTCAACATTAATATGATAATCTTTGTTCCCTATTCAAACTAACTGATAATGACATGCAACGACACACCATGTTAGTGTATTTACTTAGTCTGGGTGGTAGTAATTTTTGTAGTTTTATAAAATTGTCAGATGTAACCGCTACTGTAGCTACCCGTGTGGGTCCTGGGACCCCATTGTCTGTGTGGGGAAATGATGGGTTAACTGATTAGGGTTTTTGTGTGTGGCTATATTGCATCCACTTGAGACATAGGATGCCAACAAAACAGAACTTTCCACTGGGGTATGCAGGCGGTAAACATAAAAACATAAAGAAGAAGAAACAACAGCTCATGTGGTGATGGAAGAGTAACTTTCAAAGGACAAGGCTGCGGTTTTACACTGCTAATCTTCGCTCTAAGCACACTATAAACATTCATCTGGTATAGGTATATTTTTTAAACGACCAGAATAGCTGCTTATTTTACCCAATATTGAAGATCACACTGCAGTTATATAGCTTTTTTGCACACTAGTTGCCCTGATCGTTTTTTCCCCTCACACGTATGTGCGGGGTAAACAGACGTCCTGTCTAACATGGCATCCTTAGTTATTTTGTCAGTTTTATGACAAACACCCTGTCTGGGGCACACTCAGGAAAGTTTCTATAGCTGAAGAGAGATGCATGTCGCACACATACAGAGGACATCTATTTGAAAATTTTCAATATCACTGAATCAGCTAACTAACTCCCATCATGCCAGGCTGACTAAACACTGTAGAAGTCTTGCTATCTGAGGATGGTCTTTACTCGATGGTTCCAAGTCTGCTGAAGATATTTCCTAAGAACATTTAAACTGTTGCCTGAAAAAAAAACAAAAAAAAATTTATTTGTACTAAAAAAACCTCCAAGATGTAAAAATTAACTGAAGTCTATTTGTTCATAACAAATTTAGGAAAAATTATAGATCTGTTATCTTGAAGTAAAAGTATGTATGAAAGACTTCACCATGAAGTGACACAAAAATGACAGGAAATATTCTTAGAATAGAGAGAAAGTACTAACAGACTGAAGATATGTGGTTACTTAAAATGACAACACCTTGGGCACACAATACAGAGTAGAAAAAATGTTGTGACAGAAGTAAAATGGACAAGAGGACAGTGCCTTTGGACATAGGGATGCTAAAATATAAGGTATGGATAACAAATGTGGAACATGAAACATGCAAGACTGGAGACTTGGATGAAATAAGCACGGTTTAAACTATGAGGGATGGTATTCACATGTTTATTTGATTGGCTAAGAGTTAAGTGTCCACTAACAACTGCGAGAAAAATTCCGATTTGTGTCCAGGTGCCAGGCTGCAGCTCTGTGGTTAATTGGGAGGATGTCTTGTCCGATCAGCTCAAGTGTCAGTTTGATGTGCACAGTTAACTGTTAAAAAGCATACATGAGTCGGGTTTGTGGTTATCAAACATAAATATTTTTTTTTAAAGTCTATAGTAGGGTGTATATGTAGTGTGGATTCTGATGTATACACTTTGGCAGCTTTGCTAATGCCATAAAGTTCATGCACAGAGCTGAGATGATTACACTGTTAAAGGCAGCTGGAGCACACATTTTAATGTGTTGAAGATGGTCTAGTCCGCCAACACAAACATAAAATCTGTGCTTCTAAAGTAGTTACACCAGTAGAACACAAAATAAACAATCATTTTCTTTAGAAGTACTGCGTTGTTTGCTCATACTTTCATCCTGGATGCCTGTGATAATGGTATATTTAAGTGGGATTTCTATAATATGAACAGTTGTCATATAATAATACTCAAGGCTATATCTGTACGACTCACCTCTGACCTGGGAAAGGTGTGTTCAAGAAGGCAAGTGGCCACGTTACCTCATACACTTGCCGGATACCTTAACAGCACAATGCTATCCGGTTAGGGGGGTCCTGTCACTGAATTGACTGCAGATTTTTCTCCAACTTCCACAACTTAAAGGCTGACATTAAATCATCATATCGTTAGCTTGCCACCTGTTGTCCTTCTGGCAAGTCCAACACAGATGAATCATTGCATTGAACCAGCTCTTCGATCTGAAGGAGCAAACAGTATCATGTTGTGTGCTTGGCTTCCATACAAGTACACCAGAAGTGTTGATGAGTTGAGCAGCCCTGGATGGACATCAGCCACAGGTTTGATATCATCACCTAACAGTAAGTGTTCTTAATTGCTCAAATGTTTGTTTTTGTACTGACATCTACCTTCATTTTCACATTTCTTGTTGCAGAATATGTAACAGCATTCCTCATGTGGACAACCGGATGTCATTCATCTTGATGCAATCTCTGGCTCGTTTGAAAGGGCAGTTGGGATGAACCATTACTGAATGCTCATTTTGGAAACAGAATAATATTGTTTAATGTTTGCTATAATCTCAACAGGTGCCAGTTTCAAGGAAGCTACCAATTATGTATTTGATTGACTCCATAATAAAGAACCTGTCTGGGACGATGTACCCTCAACTGTTTGCTCAGTGCATAGTGCCAGTATTTTGTGGCGTGTTTGAAGAGGTAGCTATTTCTAAGCTTCTTTGTCAAAATGTTATGCCTTTCTCTGTGGTAAAACACTCTTAACATGTTGTTTCAAAATAACTAGTAAAGGAATTTGTGTTTCTTTAGAGTTATCATAGATTCTGAAGTTTTTGGTTGTGGGGTTATAGACTTGTTTCAAGCAAGAAGAACTGGTTATAATCTTCGATACAGCATCAGATTTGACTCTTTCATTACCCGAACAGTTCACTACATGATCTTTTGGCTAGATACTAATCTACTGCACCTCACTTATAACTTCTCTGTTTTCTACCACTTGAAGAGTAAAGTCTGAGCATTGTACAGGCAGCCCTTTATGTCCTCAGTCCATATCAAAACCTAGCTGTCCCTAGCGGCAGTGGTTTCAAGTGCTGTATGCTGTTTGTATATTTAGATACATCTTTGCGTTCACCAGCTGTAAACTTCGATAGAAAGTTCTGGTTGTTTGTCCACCACTGGATTATGGCCGTGTTCCAGAATCTGAGTATTGCGTGCAAATCCGTTCATCAAATCTGACTTAATTTTGTGCAGGCTGTTAGTTCTTTGCTTCTCAGACAGATGAGCTCTGACTTTGAAGTTAGTTGACTTTTGCAACATGCTTGTTGGGGAAGCAGTGTGTTTGTTCTTGTTTTCCTCCACGAGTCCCGAAACACACACGGCAATTTAGATATATAATATGCTCTTTAGCTGAGGATAGTATCCTTTACCTGAGAGCTCACATCATGTGATTGCTGTTACCGCTCAGCTGATTACCTGGGATGGGTCCTTTTTTTCTTGTTCTGGTCTCCACTAAATATCAGATGTTTGGATGTACAAAAAAAAAAAACAATACCAATGTAATATCTCTTCTGTGGCAACGTATCTTTTTAGTGTTACTTGTAAGGTCTATTTATATATCTCCATTGAATGTCACAGCTTCAAATAATAATTAGATCTGCAACATTAATTTTTACATTTCCTGTTGCTGATTAGTAATTTGACCTTGCGTTATTCAAGCATTTTGTCTTGGCACTATATATTCAGTTTACCTCATGATATTAAAAAAAATGATCCTTTGTAGTTAACCAAAAATTTGGGTCATCGTTGATAATGTAGCCACTGGACTTTGCAAATCTCTAACCCTATAATTTAAGCAAAGAATACATTTGTAAAATTTACTAGTGGGACTAGAGAAAGCTGAAAACATGCGGAGTCTTAGTTAAATCTAAAAAAAAAAAACCATGGTGTTGTTAAAATCTGTTATCAGCTAGCAGACAGGGTTTCATATTTATTGAGTTTAAAAAAATGTTTTTAAAAATTATCTTGCTAATTTAAAATAAAATCTAATCATATCCGCTTCGTGTACAGACCATGAAACCAATACCATAGCTGTTACGTAGACATATTGTCCACTGTCTAGCGACATTACGTTTGTTGCATATCCTCCAGTGTGCAAACCATATTGGTTAAGTTTTATACCATAGTCCGAATCAAATTACAAGGCTTTGCACCTAGAAAAATTACCAATGACCGACACAAGATTATGCTTCCCTGCCTGATATTTTTTATCATAGCATTTTTGCTCAGTGGAACAGGGTCTGAAGTGAGACTGGTCCTCAAGTGAGACTGGTCCTCAAGTGAGATTGGTCCTCAAGTGAGACTGGTCCTCAAGTGAGATTGGTCAATTCAACTCATAAAAAATGTGAAATTTCTGTGTTCACTGACTGTAAACTTCCGGAGACATTTTTGGTTGTACATTCACTTCTGTTCTTTAGACTTTGCATGCACATCCATTTTACAAATTTGGCTTATTTGTATGCTGACTGTTGGTCCTTCACTTCTCAGGCATGTGCACTCCAGCTTTGAAGAAAACAATCCACAATTAGTGGACTTTTTTTAACGCATGATAGGGGAGCAGTGGCTCTGTGCGACCCCACCCCCTCCCTTTCCGTCAAGAATGTCACCCTGTAACCCATCTGGTTTTCATAGAGTTTGTGTGTGTCTGGAGTCAGTTTGTCTGGTTTTTCTGTGGTCATTGTGTTCAAAGATGTCTTGGTATTTTATTAAGTATAAATGGCTAAAGTCTTCATAGCCAAGCTGCTGGACTTATGCCCTCAGGATAAAACATCTTAGTAGGACTCGGTTCAGGAGTGCAATTTCCGAGACATCTAGGAGTCATTGCTGTGGCTGCAGCCGCTCTCCAGACAGACTGAGCCAAAAGGGATGCAACCCAGAGCAATGAAGTCTATTTTTAATCACCTCTGTTGTGACAGTGGCTTTTCTTTATGCCTTATAATAATGTCTGTCCCATGTTTTTCATTTACACTGTTAAAAAGACTGAATACTATGAGTGTCTGTGAAGTTGAAATCATCCCATGTGATGTTCTCAGTTTAAGAAATTTTTTCATGGTGCATACTTGTGCCACATTTGCCCGATTTTTTTGTGTGTGGAAATATTTGGCGGCACATGGCTAAAATGTCTTCAATGGAGGGGGTGCTGCAGTTTTGCAGCGCCTATCTACGAGTCTCCGCTGTTGCTGCCATTTAGCTTTACATTGCATTGAGGTTTGCATGAAACGTATATACATTTCTGCCCTTGGCCAATGTTCTATTTTGATTTGGCCTGTGGTGGTTTTATATATTTGGCAATCTATATATATATAAATATATATATGTAGATGGGGATTAGAATGTTAGTTTCTCGCAGCTGCAGCAGACAGACACATGGTATGTGTAGAGCATAGTTTCCTCATGTGTTCAGCCTTTTTTGTGCAAAAAATCTGGATGATTCTCATAAATTGCTTCATTTGCACATCTGAAGTGATTGCTACTGCATTTGAATGACAGGTTTTGTACAGTGCACGAGAGTGAAACATTTCTTATGCCATTGTTAATAAAGACTTTGTTTGCTCAGTACTGCATTAAAACTTGTATTTTATGCACAATTTTTTTTATAAGGAAGTTTATTCGTTTTGACTTTGCCATGTTTTTATTGGATTTCTATGTCACATCATACTGTATTATTTGCTTTCAAATGGTATTGTCATCAGTCCTGATTTATGCTGTTGTAGTGAATAATGCTAGACTGGATTTTAAACATTTAAAGATAGATTGCCTGGAATGTTGTGCATTCAGTGAAATAGGCAATAAATTTTTTTCCTCAGCTCTTCTTCTGTATTTATCTGAAAATCTAATTGCATTTCACCTTCCAGCCAACACATCTAACTTCTGTAGACATTATTTGTTGACTGAGTTAGGGTTCTCTGTGCTGTTCCAATTGACACTAGGTAAACTTTTGTGAAATTAAATTTTGTTTGCATCACATATGCTGTGAAACTGTTCTCCGTCAAGTGAGAGAAGTGTTTTCAAATTTGATTGATCTTGTGTGTTCAATCATCTTCACCTATCTTTCATCTCATCACTGTTGTTCACTATTCACCTTCCGCTTGTGAAAAGTGAGAGCATGTAAAAGAAAACCCTAAAGTGCTACATTTTTTAAATATTTCATTATATGAAAGGATATATGACGAGATCAGATAACACCGAATTGAATCAACAGTAAATCTTTCTTATGGAGACTAAGCATTGATGGGTTGTCCTAGATTTTCCATCTTACATCTGCAGTAAACACTTAATCATATGTTCTGTGTAGTGATGTAACATGCTTGTCATTCTGTTTACTGAAGTAGGATATACAAGTTTCCCCCATTGCTGGTACTATATTGTAGACCACAACTTTCATAGTGTGGATTCTTTCCCTATTGACTTTCCTTTTGAGGACATTCTGAACATTGGTGCACATACCGCTGTCTTGGCAGGCACGTACACGTACTGCACTCTTTAAATGTACTGCACTCTTGGCAGACCGGTACACATGCCAGTGGCACTGTGACTGCAACTAAAATAGGTGTGTGTGGTAACTAAGTAAGGTGCTTGTGTGTTGATTGTTTACAGCACTTGAAACCCAGCCACAGTTTTCTGGTATTGAGTTTTACTAAGCTTGACCCAATAGGTCTGATCAGCAAAACCAATCACCTTCTGCTGCATTTTATTAAGAGGCAAGCTTGCCATCCTCCCCCAGATAGGATTCAGAACTAACACTCTGTGTTCCGAGCTGTCTTGTGATTGTGCATTAGCGTGTTTGAACACGTCACAATTCTGTTTTCTTCTCCCCCCTACTGCAGTCTCTTAGTGTTGTCTTAACACATCGCTGCTAGGTCATTTGCCTCAGACTAGATTGGGTGGAGAGAAGGATGTTGGCACCACTGCCGTGCAAACTGAAGCTGGCCAGCAGTATTACCATCAGTATAAACAGCAACAAAACTAGATTTATGTTTCAGAAGAGCTGTTTAATCAGTTCTGTTGCATGAAAGTGAATCACTTGTAACCCAGTCAAATAGATTGAGATGATGTCTTGACACTGCCATAGCTATAACCTCGTTTGCAGTTTTAAAATTGAAATAAACTTGCACAAAAGGCTGCATGCTTATGATCAGTATTTTCCCATTTGGTACTTCATGTAAAGGAGAAAATGTGGACACACAAAAAAAGAGATCAAGAAAACAAACGAGCGATGATGTTAGATATCTATGGCATGGGAGTACTACCAGTGTTGGTTGGTTACTTTGTTCTGGGGACCACATTTATGTCACAGCCAGACTGCACGCTGATCATACTGGCAGTGCTTATTACTAGCCAGGCTGTTCACAAATATACTGGAGATGATCTGTGTTTGTATTTTTTGTGAGGAAGGGAGAGGTATGAATATTTGAAACTAGTTTCTCTCCTATCCCTTTACACCTGGTCAAATATCTTGTGAATATCTGGTTTGTGAGGAATGGAGAGATTTGAATAACTATTTTCTTACATTTAATTTAAGTATCCTTTCTATGTAAGTGTTTGTTGCATGGAATTATAGCAATCTTTGTATTGTTTCGTTTCAACATTCTCTCTCTTCTGACTTTTTGTATGGTGGTACATGATGAAAGTTTTAAATGCATTTGGTGTAGAAGACTGGGAGAAGACTAAACTTGACTTTCCTGGACCAGGTTGACGAAAAGACGAGGCAGGCCATGTATAAACTCAGGCAGACGTGGCCGGACATCATCCCCAACAAGCAGCTGTACATCCTTGACAGAAAAGTCCAGCTTATAGACCCGGCCTGGCCAATCACAGCAAAGGCTCCAGAACATGGTGTCATCCATGTCAACCCCAAATTTTTAAAGGTAAACAAACAAGACAACGTCAGTCTACATGGTTGAGATGGCATTTGTCTCATGGTGTTTGACATAAGGCTGAAAACAGTGAAACACTTGGGAATTTGTAAGCAGCCAGTTTAGGTTGCATTAAAAATTATAACATTTTGCCCGCGAAACTTGAGCATGCAATGGATCATGAGAAGACTCCCTTCTACAAACTTCCCTCAGCGCATCGACATAAATAATCTGCCCCTTACCTGTTAAGCACAGTTTTCCAGTTGCCAACGACTTCAGTCATTGGCTAATCTGGCTCCCTGTAAACCTCCCATCTATCAGCAATATTGATTACACATTGTCATTTGTGTCGGGGCTTGACTGTTTCTGTTATAATATTTTACCTATAGAAGATAAATTTTCTTCTCCCCCCCCTCCTCCATTTGAAGCATAAGCCCTCCACCATCAACTCCCTTATTTGTGAATGGTTGGTAAGGTTTTCTGCGGGTTGAGATAAGCTGGTGTACCAGTTTTGCCTGCTATGACATGCTTCTCCTGGCAACTCATGTAAGCCTCATCTGTTCTCACATTAGTGATTGTTTTTCTCTGTGTGTGGCCTATTAGACGCTTTGTTGGTGCAGTTTGTGGAAATACAACTGCTTCTTTTATTTTTGGCCATTTTTCTGGCACTTAGTTCTTGTATTAGGGCAGGTATTCTTGAGCATTTAAAAAAAATTTGTTTAAGATTCTGGTTTCTCAATAAGCACTTTGATTTTATAATGGACAGTGTTACCGCTACACATTTTGGCCAGTAGCTGCTTACTGTTTCTACTGTAATGTAAAGCCTTGACTGCTATGGAACTTTTCAGTCTATTTCTAGTTAGCACTTCTTGTCTGATTTCCTACTGTTTCTGTATGTTCATGTAATTGAATTTTTGCCATATCTGCAGCTAGATTGAAACCCAGTAATTCTCCTGCATAACACAAGTAAAACTACCACCTCCTGTTTTTTTTTAATGGAGTATGCTCTAGGGGTGGCATGGCTGCCTTTACTTTCCAGGACATTTTTAGAGATTCATTATGCTGAGTTAACTTGGCCAGTATTGTTTCAAATACATGACCACTGGGCAGACATGCATGCTAGATATTTTGTCAACCCTGCCCTCAATTTAACAAGTGTCCCCTCTCCACCAGTAAGGTTGCCTGCAGTGTACCTGCTTACCGATCCCTCTTTTAATCAGTCGCGCTATTCCTGGCAATACTTGTCTTTGTAAAGCAATCCCGGAGGATGTTTTAGGCTTGAACTATCTCACGCTGTCCTGTGTTTTGTGAATTTGCTAGGCAGACTTTCTCTCCACTTTTCCAGTAGGTTTATAATCATTGCTGTTGTAAATGCGGCTAACGTGGCTTGGCCTTTATTAATTTTTGTGAACTCCATTCTTTGCTGGGAATGGATAGGCGTCTGCTGTTTCAGTTGAGGTGGTGGCTAGTTGGTTTGGTTATTCTCTCTGAGACCCATTGCGGGATTCTCATCTGGGTTGGCGATCGGGCTTAGCTCCAGTTCGATAGGTTGACAGTGACTCGATGTGTCTGTCGTCGATCTAGGAGTGTTGCAGGTATCATTCGGCTGAGTGATGTTACTGTCAGATGGAGGCAGTACTTCTACATCGTGAGGTCTAACTGGATCAGATGTGGCTTTTGGTCATGTCATGATCTAGCCTGTCCTCTTTTTTCCTTAACTTTGTGGGTAGTTGTTTTCCCCAACTTTGTGGCTAGCTGTTTTCCCCTTCAACTTTATGGGTAGCTGTTTTCCCCCCTCAACTTTGTGGGTAGCTTTCCCTTTCAACTTTGTGGGTAGCTGTTTTCCCCCTCAACTTTGTGGGTAGCTGTTTTCCCTCTCAACTTTGTGTGTAGCTGTTTTCCCCCTCAACTTTGTGGGCAGCTGTTTTCCCCCTCAACTTTGTGGGTAGCCTAACGTTTGGTCTATATCGTGGTCTGTATAGTTATAGTTTTCTTTAGTGACGAGCAGTGACTGAAGAAAGTGGCTTTGTGAGTACAGAATCCTGAAAAGCAGTCTGGCCCCAACCAACAGATCGGAACTGCGCACTGTTTTATTGATAAATCGTGCACTGCCTGGCTGACGCAACCATTCACGACTTTAGCAGGGAAAAATTAAGGTGGTGTCATCAATACATCATTTTATAACCTAATCATCTTGTGGGATGCCATTTTTCGTTATCTTGAGGCCCCACTCTGATCTTGCCAGGGGCCGCAATTTAGCCCGGCCATAAATATTGTCTAATGGCTGAACAAGGTTTCTGGGACCTCTCCACGGGTGATCCTCATCCACATGGTGCCACTTTGTGTCATCGGGTGTTTATCGCTTGTGTTATGTCCTGGTGGGGTTAAAGTTACTAGGTGGTGTCATGAGCTGTCTATGACTTTGCAATACCTTTAAACAGATGCATACATACATCTGGACAGCTTTTTCATGCAGAACACAGGGTGGCATTAGTAGAACACAGAAAAACATAAGTAGAACACAGAATTGATAATTTTGCTATGAAGAAGGTAGTTGGTGAGATTGATCTTGTGACAGTTGCCGCAAGATCTCGAGCATAACCATTTCTATAGCAGATACCATATTTGCTGATGGTGACCTGAAATGTGCCTTTGGTTTTAATTCTCTGGGTGTCCGAGGTGTGCATCAAACATTCCTTCACAGTAACCAGCCTTAGAAAAAGCAATGCAGTTGTCCAACATTAGCCTTATTGCTTTGGTTAAGTAGTGAGTGCTCATGGACACTTTTGTCATGTAAAACTACTCATACATTGTCAATGACAATACGCTTCCTAAGATAACCAGGGCATCCATTCTTGCACTGTTGCTTGTATCGTTCACTGCAGCCCCTTGGTTCATCTAAAAAGCTGCAATGTGCTTTTTATCACTTCCTGTGTCATACAAAGAACGGAAAACATGCAGGTGCAGATATACAGCCAACCTCCATGTGGTCAGCAACACTGCTTCTGGATCATTTTCCAGCTAATGTTTAAGGTGGCATCCCCTTTGTCTTTCCCATGCATTAGCAACTTTCTTTAACTCTTTGAGTCCCAAAGAACGCATCATACGTTTAAGGCTTCCAACCCAGAAGCCCAATGAACGCATGATGCACCGATTTTGTGACTTTATTCACTACCCCCTGGGGAGTTAAAATGCTACATCACTCCTACCTGTCTTAATAATTTCTCAAACACTTTTTAACTCCTTGCATTTCACATGCCCCAGCTGGGTTTTTTCTTCTGCTTTTCTCCCCACGTCATTTGCCAATTCAGGTGATGATATGCCATACTATTTTCACTGACTAAAATAACCCCAGATGGTTAAATTTGAATGCACCTTTAACTACCTTTTTATATTGTTTAGCTGGTTCTGTTTGCTAAAATACAAAAATTCATGCCAACATTTATTAGCAAACAATTGGTCTAAGACTGGCACACCCCTGCTCCCGGCAGATTTGGTCATCTAAATTATAGGAACAAGTAACCTTACACCATTAAAAACAAAAATTTTCAAAGCTGTAAATGTGCCAGAAATAAAAGGTCAGATGCTAATTACCACACAGAACCTGTGATGCTGAATGTATGTAAAACATGAGTTGCCACACAGGCTAGGAAACACAAGACAGTGGATATTTTTTTTTAAATGCATGCCACCAGTTCGACAGCCCTGTCATAAAAGATCCCCCATTCCCAAGAAAAGTTTAAAAACTTTTTTGTGTGGACACATGAGATTAGAAGGTAATAACTTGTAAAAAGAGCAATGGGGAAGAATAAAAACAACTGGATAGCCTGAGCACATAGTAGAACAAGACTACAAACCTGAACCATGATCTTCTCGTGAAGACGGTGAACAGTAATATGTAAACTGGGATGGCTAAGCATGCTGAAGGCACTGCTTGATGGCGTCAGTGGCAGGATGTCCCAGCAACTGTCAGGACACCTCTTTATTTCGCCAGCATGTACACAGTGAAGAGGTGTAGCATGCGGGGGGCACTGCTTGATGGCGGCAGTGGTAGGATGTCCCAGCAACTGTCGGACACCTCTTTGTTTCGCCAGCATGTAGAGGGTACACAGTGAATGTAGATGTAGCATGTTAATTGTTAGGGACAACAGAAAGTCTACCACATGTCTGTAAAGGCAACATATTCGTGGATAACTTCAGGACTGAGATGGGGCTGGCTAGCTCGCCTGCATTATTGATTTTTACAGAAGTAAACTCTCCCATTCTCAGCATTTATTGTTTTCCTCACTATGGGGCCCTGGGACCCACACAGGGAGCTTATAGTGATGGTGGGTCTTTTATGGTTTTCCTCAAAAAGAAGGATAGAGAATTGTGCATCAATAAAATTATCATAGCCACGGCAAGATTTATCTGCAGAGTGAGGATCATGACGTCACATTTGCTGGTCCGGGGTTGAATGTTGTATTTAGGACTGAATGAGAAAGCCAGTCCCTTCAAATCTCTCTAAGCTGTCTAGCATGTAGTACAGGCAGGAAGAAGGTGAATTGAATAACAAACTATAACAAGAGAGGTTGAAACAAAAAAACATTTATTACATAGGAATAATATCATCCAGATTGTCTTCACAAGAATTACATTAAGGTAGTTTGGAGACAGCATAATAGGACAGTTGTCGGGCTACAGATATTTTTGTCTTTCATCTTCTTCGTTCACCGGCTGTGAATTCCGGCACGAGGTCGCAGTAGATCGTCTATTTGGACTTTTGACTTTTACCTGGACCTGAGTTTTGCGTGTACAACCGTTTTGCTTTTCCAACTTTGAGGGAGTTTGTCTTTCATGCCAATGTTATCTTCTCCATAGTTCGTCCAACGGAGTAAATGCGCATTGCCTTGTTTACAGCATAACTGCGATGTTTGCACTTTTCGGCTGTCATATCTGACTTCTTCAGGCATTTCTTACCCGGATGATTGATTCTCCAGAACATCTTTTAACCTAAAAACTTTTTCATTTTTTAACAAAATGGAATGATTATGGTATTGTCTTTTCCTTACAGCATTTTTATGCCAAATTACTTTGAACATATATTTACATTTAAATTCACTTTCTTTCAGCCGAAGGAAAAAGAGGAGAGAAGCCCACAGTTCAGTCCTGTGCATTCTGATTCTTCAGTTGATGAATCCATTCGGGAGGAGCTCTACGTTAAAGAGAAAGAGCTGCAAAAACTTCGATTGGAATTGGAACTGGCAGAAACAAAAGCCAAATTAGAACAGCAGAAGAAACAGGTAGAGAAGTTTTTCACTTTCAATAATCATCTCCACTCGAGCATTTATAAAATAGAGATGTGCACAATCTTGCCTGTCTTTGTGGTGAGGACCGTATTTTCATACCAGTCTTTTTTTTTTTTTTTTTTTTTTTTTTAATATTAAATCTCAGTTGTTTGTATGTAGGCTGGTGGTTCCTTGAGGCAGTACGACTCTGAAGGAAATCTCCCAGTTAGTCGACTCCTACAACAGGCTTGTTGGGTAGGCGGTGGTTCTGTTCTTGTTTTCACCACCGTCTGAAATCCACAAGAATGATTTTTGTGTGCGAACCATCCACTGCCAAAATCACATCCTAGTAATCAAATCAAGGATCATGTAATTGTTAAACGCATTCACCTAAAACCACAGTTCCTCAGTTACCAATGCAGGTGTTACGAGGCAGGCTCCCAAGGAGCATGTAGATTGACATCATTAAATAAACGAAGGCAGTCTTTGCATTCACCGGCCAAAACCACAGAAAGAGCTGGTTGTTTCTGACTTTTGCTTCAGAACTTTTTACAGATCTGGCTTATTTGTATGCAGACTGTTGTTTTCCATGCTCCTCAGGCAGATGCTCTCTGGCTTTGAAAAGAACCCTTAGTTGTCTTTTACATTTGTTGTGTGGCAGTGGGTCTATTATCTCCTCCCCCCCCCCCTCTCTCTCTCTCTCTCTCTCTCTCTCCCAGGAGCCCACATTGGAAAAGGAAGGCAATCACCAGTACCAGCAATCAAGTGCTGGACAGCCATTTCTTCCTACATTGCTTGAACACATATTTTGTCTTATTTTATTGTTTTACCTGTTCTAAATGATCATTGGTTTGTAACTGTTTAACTGCTTTCATGTTTCAGCTTGAGCAAGCAGCAGCACTCAAGGCCAGCAAAAACATTATCGACCGTGAACCACCGCCTGTAATCAAACTCCCCCCTGTTGGTTCTTCACAGGCAACCACTGTGCCACCGACAAACAGAGACCCTAGAGTCAGCCGAGACCCTAGAGTGACCAGGGATCCGAGGTTGAAGCGGCAACAGGAACGTCAAGAACAAGAAAGATTAGAGCTGGAAAAGGTTGAAGCCGTTGTTGTTGCTGGACCCACGGCTGGAGTTCGAGTGCCACCTGTAGAATCTGTGCCTTCTGCATCGACATCACCACGCATGGATTTGGCCACATTGCTAAATTCATTCAGCAATGCGGCGGCTAAGGTGGCTGCAGAACAGGCAAAGAAAAGAAACCCATCTGTTGAGTCTGTCACATCCAAATCGGAGGCCCAGTCCCGTGGAAAGTCCCCAGATGTTCACCCCCATAGATCTCCTGAGAGTGTTTCCCATAGAAAATCGCCGGAGACGCTTGTACATAGAAGGTCCCCAGAAACTGTCTCCCAGAGAAAGTCACCAGAGGCTCACTTCCATTCAAGATCTGAGGCTGTCTCCCAGAGAAAGTCACCAGAGATTGCCCTCCAAAGAAAATCACCTGATGCACAAGTGAATGATAATGAATGTTTTGAACAAGGAGTGGTCTGTGACAAAAAGGCAGTTACACAGATAAAAACAGAGTCTTTAGCTAACAGCACTAATACTCAGATTCACAAAGTACATGAACCAAAAAGTGTGTCTACCAAAACAAAAGATAAAAAATCTGAAGACTCTAAAGATTCTAAAAGAGATAAAAAATGGAGCCCTCATGGAAAAGATAAAGAGAAGCAGAGTAACAGAGAAAAGGACAAAAGGGATAGTAAGGACTCAAGTAGAAAGGATAGCAAGGATAGAGATAAAAGAGACAGCAAAGAGAAAGAAAGGAAAGAAAAAGAGTCAGAACGTCCAAGAGACAGACGAGACAGCAGAGAAAGGAGATCCGAAGTAATTGCTAATCGGCACGGTGAGAGAAGAGAGTACAGACACCCAGCACCAGAGTTCAAGCGGGGCTCCTACAGGGATACACGAGAGAACCGAAACAGAGGCAGGGGCAGACATGCCACATCAGTGATCCATTCTACTGATAGTCGAACTGATCAGTTTGGTCGCACATTGAGGAGGTCAAAATCAGGGTCAAGAAGTAGGGACAGGTCACCGGTGGATAGAGATGAGAGAATAGTCCGGTCACCTAAAGATGGCAGTAAAGAGGACAGGTTGAGATTAGAGAGGACACCAAGTGACAGTTCTGACAAGCACACTGCATCACATGGAGGAATTGAAGAGATGGACAATTCAGATACAAAAGATAATGGCTTTTACTCACTGCCTCCTGAATCCATCATTAAAGAGGAGTTTGTCTCGGAAGAGGAAAAAATCCAAGAGGATGCCTCTTTTCATAGAACTGAAATTGATTCTCATATAAAAGAAGTTTCCAGTGACACTGGATTCAGCCGCACAAAAGTAGAACAAGAAGCCAAAGATCATCAGATCAGTGATATCAAGAATGTGGAGGCCCTGGACGTGAAACCCAAACAAGAAGTCTCGGACAGTGTGATGAGTTCATCAGAAGATGTCGACATGCGCATTCAACAGCAAGCAGTGACGGTGAAGAAGCTTGATTCTGCAGACAAGGCAGCAGAGGACATTGTCAGCTCTGTAGATTCTCAGGCAGGCATGAAGCGCCCATATCCGGATTCTGTCGACATGAAGCCAGATCTCCGTCCATACAAGATACCCAAACTGGGAGCCAAGAAAGTGGAGGCCAAGCCCAACGATAACCAAGAGGATATAAGGTACTTTTCATATAGTTTGTGTGTGTGTGTGCGTGTGCTAAGAATTGTTATGCTCTTCCCCTTTTTCCTTTCTCTCTCATTAAGTAAAATGCACACTGACATGCTAAAATTAATGTAGATGCCATCGTCACAGCATTCCAGATACATAGGTGTTTCAATCTCCTTATTAGCTCGGGTGAAATGTTTGACAGCTTCAGTTTGCACCTCGATGTCTACCAACCTGGGCATGGAACCATTGTGATAAAGAAATACTGTTGTTATTGACTACTCCGATTCTTCTTTTTCACATTCACTGGCTGTAAACTCAGGTGGAAAGTCCTGATTTTTTTGGGGTCCTTGTCCACTTCTGGACATATATTGTTTCAGAACTTGAGCTCCTGGGTGCTCATCCATTTAGTAAATCTGGCCTATTTGCATGCAGACTATTGGTTCCTCAACTCTAATGCTAATGCATGCAGACTGTTGGTTCCTCAGCTCTTATGCAAATGCATGTAGACTGTTTGTTCCTCATCTCTTATGCAGCAGATACACTCTGACTTTGAAACCTTATTAGTTGACTTAAGACATGCTTGTTACCGGCCAGTGGGTCTATTTATCCCCCCCCCCCTTTTTTTTTTACACACGCGCGCGCAGATGACCCAGAACCAATACAGGAACCTTACCAGATTGTAAATGTCAGAGCAGCATTTTGTATATCGGGGGAACATCTAAAATTATTATTTCTGACTCATTTTATTCCACATGTCCATTTGTTTCTTTCAGAACTTTAGTTTTTTTTTTTTTTCTTCTCTCCTTAGAAATCTGTTTGGTGAAGAAGATGTGGATTATCGACATCCTATGTTGGCAGCACCAGTGCAAGCTCAGTCATCCATTTCTAATCAGAACTTTCTTCCTCCCTCTGGGCTGAATGTCAAAAGTCCAGCTCAACGACGATGGAGTCAGTTCAAGGAGAGCCACCCTGATGATTTTGCCCAGGACATGGAGCGCAAACGGCTGCGGGATGCTCAGATGCAGTCAATGGCCATCGACAACCAGGATGTTGACTTGAGACCTCTGACTTCGTCCAGGCAGAGATCCCTGCCTCTACCTTCCGGAGATGTCGGTTTGCCTATTCCAAAGGTTTGTATTGAGATGTGATTGATCTCTTGGTTTGTGATTGTCACTGGTTTGCGATGTGATTAATCCCTTGGTTTTTTTTCCCCTGTAAATATGAATGTCCCAGCGGGTTGCGACTGAGGTGTGAATAGCAGCATGCATTGTGTTTGAGATGTTATTGTCCCCGTGCATTGTGTGTGAGATGTTATTGTCCCCGTACATTGTGTTTGAGATGTTATTGTCCCCGTACATTGTGTTTGAGATGTTATTGTCCCCGTGCATTGTGTTTGAGATGTTATTGTCCCCGTGCATTGTGTGAGATGTTATTGTCCCCGTGCATTGTGTTTGAGATGTTATTGTCCCCGTGCATTGTGTGAGATGTTATTGTCCCCATGCATTGTGTGAGATGTTATTGTCCCCATGCATTGTGTGAGATGTTATTGTCCCCATGCATTGTGTGGGATGTTATTGTCCCCATGCATTGTGTGAGATGTTATTGTCCCCATGCATTGTGTGAGATGTTATTGTCCCCATGCATTGTGTGAGATGTGATTGTCCCCATGCATTGTGTGGGATGTGAATGTCCCCATGCATTGTGTGAGATGTGAATGTCCCCATGCATTGTGTGAGATGTGAATGTCCCCATGCACTGTTTGAGATGTGAATGTCCCTATTTTTTATGTTTGAGTTGTTAAATGTCACTGAAGTTTAAAAAAAATATATAGTACATATATAACTACCTAACGTTATGGTGAGAGACAGTCTGATTACATTTTAGTTGTGCTGTTGCTGTAGCAGATGTTTTACAGTACATAACTACCTTTTTGTTTTTCAGGATCTGTCTGTAGAGAATCAAGAACAGATCTTGCAGAGAGCTGAACAAGAATTGAAGGAGGGGCGTATCAGCCATGGAGATCATCAAGAAATTGTCCGTCAGCTGGGTCAGGTCTATGATATTCAGAAGAAACGACACAACTTAGGAGAGCAGCCATCACGGGCTTTGGATTTGAGAGACCCTCGGCTGAGAGGGATCAGAGAAACTAAATCCCCATACCATGATATAGATAGAAGATTGCCATATCCTGAAGATGTTGAGCCTCTCAGAAAAGAGCCACTGAGGTCTCGTTTGCCTGCACAGCCAGTGTCTGGAGATTTGTCGGAGCAGCCCAGTGAAAATTCGCCGCGGTACAGGGAGAAAAGAGAGAATTATCGAGCCAATTATGAGATGAGTCCAAATGAAGACTTTGATGCCCGCCAGCACATTCATTCAAGACCTCGACACGATCGCCAAATGGAATATGAAAGACGTAGAGGCATAGTTGAAGATTTTGATGGTAGATCACCCAAAGATATGGAATCAGCACAGCCACGTTCAGTGAGAGACTATGAGAGGGCACCGATAAGATATGCTGATTATGATGGGAGACACTCTCGAGATGTTGAGCGGATGAGTGAGTTGTCTTCTCATGATATTGATGCAAGACATCCACGCCGCATTGAGGAGGATCCGAGGAGTGAGTATAGAAGTGAGAACTCAAGAGGTTCTTTTGATGAGTACAGCCGACCTCACGTGCGAGGGCCTCCGATGCGAGGGGACATGCATTCACATGATGTACGAGAGGAAAGGTTGGATGATGTGCACAGTCTGAGACGCAACACTCCGCCCTCTGATGCACCATTCAGAGGTCCCCCCAAGGAGGATGTTGAAGGACATCGACCTTTTGGGGCTTCAGGTCCCCCTGTTAGGGAATCATTTATCAATCAAGGACCCAGACTTGGTCCTGTTCAAGATATCAGAGGCCCGCTGCCTAACTTCCCCGGTGCTATGGTGAGACCAGAGCAAAGGATGCCAGCTCCATTGGGGCCAAGACCACAAGCTCCAGGCCCTGTCCGACAGGCATCAGGAACATCTGATCCCATGGATGATCCTAGGTGGTCTGCCATGAAGGGACTTTTAGATAATGAAGGAACAGAAGAACTTGTTATCGATGGGAAACCATTTGAGTTACGCATGGGCACTTCTCGAAAACTGCGTATATACGGGAAGGATATGGATGTGGCCGTGGACATGAAAGAGAGAGGGCTAAGAATAGATGGACAGCTGGTGTACAAGCTTGGTGAACCAATCAAAGAGGTGCCAGCAGTTGGTAGAACAGTCAGACTGTATTATCACGGGCTGCCAAAGCCAATCTGGCTGGATGGGCAGCAGCACGAGATGCGGGTGGATGCTCCTCCCCGAAATGTCATGGTCGATGGGGTTAGAAGAGGTTTCCAGATTGACGGCAGGGACATGATGATTCTTGTGGACAGGCTTGAAAAGGTCCTTATGGGGGGCCTCCAAGAAAGATCAGAATAGCCGGAGTGGATCACGACATTGCCTTCCAAGCTCCTCCCCGTCGCATTTTGATTGACAATAAATCTTGTGAGCTGAAACTCGATAGCAAAATTCCCTACGTCATTATCGACGGCAAACCTCATGGGATACGTTTCGATGGAGAACCCAGAACTGTCTTCATAAATGACCAACCATTCACTATTCCCGTTGACCGAGCAGAAAAAATACGTATTGGTAATCGGCCTACATACATTGCTTTTGGAGGTCCAGCTCATGAGATTATTATAGATGGGAAATGGTTTGAAGTGAAATTTGATAATATTCCTAAGGATATTCACCTTGGCAATCGCCATTTCTCGATCAGAATTCCGGGCCCTTTACCACGGGTAAAAATTCTCGATGAATTGCCACATGACTTTGATGACTCCCGTCTGATGTCATCGAATCAAAGTGTTGTCCCACAGCCACGGCGGCACATGCCTGGATTTTCTGAGCCAGAAATGCCTTACTTACAGGGGCATGATGGTTCACAAGTACCTGAAGGATTGCGCCCGCAAGCTACACCAGGCTCTGACAGTATGCATCAGCAGGAACTGCCTGGTTCTGAAGGCCTTCGTATTCCGGCACCTCAAGCTTCTGTCATCCACCCACTACTGCAGCCCGGCATTGACAACATTAGACCAACCATAACTGTTGCTTCTGAAGGTAATCTAAGACCAATCGGACCTCTGATCCCAGAATCTGTCAGATTCAGCCAGCCTGCTGCTCAGATGATGCCACAACCAGGCCAGCCTATAATTACACAGTCTGGTGCAATTCCCAGTCTCCTCCAGCCGGGCACGATGCGCCACGGTTCAAACCCCAGAATAGGCATGGCCCGGCCTAATTTAATGGGGTTTGCAGGCATGACCCAAGGCCATCAGAACCCGAGGATATTGCAGCAAACACAGCCGGTGAATCTGTTAGCTCAGGGACTTCTCAACCGTAAGTCTAACATGTTTCTTTTTACCGCTGAATTTAGAAGTTAAGCTGAAACTTTAATGTAAACTGCTGACTTGGCGAGCAGGAACAGTAAAATATGCTGCTACAATTGTATAGGACTTTGAGTTAACTCAGAAAAACTAGTCATTATATCCATGTTTGTGAGGATTATGGCTAGTGTGTTGCAAAGAAACTGGGACATAAAGAGAGAGTCTGTTGGCAGACTGATAATAAAATATATGGCGACAATTGTTCTTTTTCTCTGAACAGAACACATATAGCAATATATAGAAGGTCTTCAGTGGGTTAGTGTATCTATCTAGCCAGAGGCTTAGCGAAGGATTATAATCTTCCCACTAAAAAAATCCTTTACAAGGGAAATCTAGTGCTGTGTTTGTAATGGATTTTTTTATATTGCCTACGACCAGATTTGTAATTCTAGATTTGGCCCACATTTAGTGCGTAGTTTTGTCTTTTAGAGCTAGTCTCCTGTGGCATGAAGTAGCCACCCTCACACCAAACCCCTTAGTTGTTACTTAGGGCGTGCTTGGTAGGCTAGTCTTGTAACTCTGCCTCCCTACAAGTGTCTGAGGGAATTTATACAGGTGGTCTAAAGTGAGAGGATCAGATTAATTAAACCAGGTATATCCCCACAGAGCGGCTGATCATTTGCACAAACTACATAGCTCCAGCAACAACCCCCAGGGAAGTGCTGAGTATCGAACCCACAATTCTCACAGTACACGGTTTAACCACTTTACCACAGAGACCAATCAATCAATATTGTACAATAGTAATGCTTGTCTCTAGAAACAGATTTTGTTCAGACATTTGTTGCAGTTAAGCATAATAACCTTACCATAAATAGGCAGTAGTGTTCATTGTTCTTTTTGCTTTAATTATTCCACAGAAGTGGCGTCGAACATGATGAGCTCTACACTTCAGAACATGCCTGACCTGGCCGCTAGTCTCCGAGCTCTGACACAGCTCAACACAGTTCATCCACACGGCCAGCCACAGATGTCAACTCATCCTGTGATTCCTCCAGTACACAGACATGCTCCAGAAGATGACCACAGTGCCGCTATGATCACTGGCATGCAGGGCTCATTATTTTTGGGTCAGCAGGTAAAAACTACATTAGTGTTGTGTCCACCACATATCTGGTGATATTTGAAGTATTATTCTGGGCTTTACAAAATGTCAAAAGTGTCGGAGAAGACCTGAGATAAAGACTGTTGCCACAGGGTTGCTAGCTATGCTACTCTTTCATCCAACAATCTCACACAACATACAAAAGATAGTCAAGAAATGAAGGGTCTGTACAGTGGCTCTCATTCAACTCCCTAGACCAAACTGGCAAAGCAAAACTAAAACCTTTGTAATGTCTCTTTTATAACTGTTTTGTCATTTAACCAACAAAAACCCATCCATTCAGATTCGGGGGGGGGGGGGGGGGGGGGGGGGGGGGGGGGGGGGGGGTAGTAGTTTGGAGTGTCATGTATTATGAACAAGCGAACATTTTTCCTAGAAAGTAGAATTGAAACTGTATGCCCTGAACAAGATTTATGCCATGTCATTTCATATCTGCATTCATCATTCACTTACTTTGTCTTGTTTTATTTTGTCTTCTTCAGAAAATGCCAGTTATCCTTCCGCAGCAACCAGTTGTTCCTATTCGTCCTTTGGCAACTGTAGCTCCACCTCTACCAATACCAGTATCAGTGCCGCTGCCAGGAGTGACACCCATGCAGGGACCCTCAGGTAGGGATCGCACAAAGGCTAATATCTGTCTGTGTATTCTTTCTTCCTGATAACTGGTTGACTGTGCCCGCATGAGCCTGACATGGCTGTACAGAATACATCACTGGTTTTCAACTGTTTCACTCCTAAATAGCATTTGATTTATGATGCCGCTCTCCTGTGAACTGCACTGAATGTATATGTTTATGTCTTAGATTTGGCCAGTGCTTTCTTAATTTGTGGTCTCCAGCCTTTTTTCGGGTGTGGTTCCATTGGGTCTCTTTGTCAGCAAACGGTGTAACTGATAGTGATTTTCCCCTCTTTAATACTCTTGTAGCATGTCAGTGTTGGTTTCTATTTTAAGGAGGTAGGTATCTGCTGTACTTTTTTATTATATTTTGGTGTCGTTCCAGCATGTCATGTCCTGAAACTGACTACTCCTTTGCAAATATGGCAAGATCTCCCCCCCCCCCCTCCCTTTTCCCCAGGTTGGAAACCACAGTGCTAAATAAATCTGTCTTCCTTGAGAGTAACAGACTCACTATTTGTTATAATTATGCTGTTGAGCATCTTCTTCAAAATCTTCTGCTTACTGAAAGAGTTAATGATCATAATGATTAGGCCAAGTATGACTGACCGATGCTTTTCCTTTATTTCAGTTTCCTATGGAATTGCGCACCCAGCGGTCACAACTTCAGACCCAAATTTCATTCCAGGTCTGTCTCAGCCATCTGCCGAGACCACATCATCATCATCTTCTACCTCAGCTACCCCCTCCATTGATATCAACAATTTGCTGAACAAGCTGCTACAAGCTGGCCTTATCAAAGAGCCTGCTAAGACGGACACATCTACTACAGAGACGATACCTGCCCTAGCGCCAGAAACCGCACCACCCGTGGTCAAGGAGGAGCCGGCAGTTCCAGTAAAGGTAAGAAGCGACAGAACATTCTTCACATGTTTTATTCTTCACCTTTTATTCTGTAAGGTAGCTTACATGTTTCTCCCTCTTGCTTGCAGTATTTCTGTCTCACTTCTTTTCTCTCTCATTTTCTGCTGACTTACTGGTTTGTCTACTTTTTGTAATTTTTGTCTGTCTGTAATTCTACATCTGTGCCCATTTATGCACACACTGACATACAGATCTTGTTTGCAAATAGTTGTATTAGCTACTTGGAGAGAGCAGATAGCAGCAGTTGTATTTCTGTATTATAGATATAAAACATTATATACCACTTATCAAAAAAAAGTATGATGTCCCTCTTATATTCAGCTCTTCCTTAATGGGGGTTCTTGGGACCACTTGTTGGGGAGCGGGGGTTGCTGCCCCCCAACAAGCATGTCGTAAGAGTTGACTGAGAGGCAAAGAACCAACAGTCTGCACACAAAGTTTACAGCCGGGGAATGCGAAGTAGTATTCAGTTCATGTTCTACGTAGAAGTTATCTTTTAGCGGTGTATTTGAGTCGCTCCTTCGGTAAACTTTGTAGATGGGCATTTAGATACTTTATCATTCAATGTTCAAGAAAACGATATGACAGCAAATATTGTTTTATAACAGGAATATTTTGTGCAATGAATTAATTATTGGAAGCTGTAAAAGGAATATATATATACGCGACATATAACCAGCTTTAATATACCCTTCTACCCTTTATGGACAAGCAACAACAAAAATCCTGAGGCCTCAGAAATGTGATTTTACCGAAGAATCCTGAATATTTATTTGTTAGTGAATCTAATGCAGTAATTCCCAATCAGTTAAATGTTTCTTATTTTCAAAGGCCTGCCACAGGTGGCATAATTGTTAATGCTCTTAATTTTAATACTGAAGAACTTGTTAGAATTGCAGAAAAGATTGCATTCTGATGTTGAGAGGTTTGTGTGTCTGTTTGTAAATTATATGGACCCATGAAATTTGTTTTCGCTGACCACCAGAAGGAAAACGCAGAATTCTAATGAATTTTTTGTTTATTCAACAGAAACCGATCTATGTTCCAGACCTGACAGACTTTGACACAGACAAGTTGAGACAGTGAGTGTTGTCTTTTGATTCATATAATGTAACTTTGCAGGAGGAATTGTTAGATCATGACAGGGCAGTTTATACTTCAGTTTTGCTTAAAAATCCCATTGCGACCATTTATCTAGATTTATAGGAGTGAATATTTGACTGATATGTAGTGTGAAGACGAAAACTAACATCTTCTCAAAAACGTATACACAGATTGTTGTCATTTATTGACTCTCTCTCTCTCTCTCTCTCTCTCTCTCTCTCTCTCTCTCTCTCTCTCTCTCTCTCTCTCTCTCTCTCTGTCTCTCTCTCTCACTCTGTCTCTCTCTCTGTCTCTCTCTATGTCTGTCTCTCTGTCTCTCTCTTTGTCTCTCTCTCTCTCTCTCACTCTCTCTCTCTCTCTTCCCCCCTCTCCCTCTCATTTTGTGTGTGTGTGGTGGTTATAGGAAAAACAACATTATTATTTTGGGCACATTCTGAAATGGTGTGGACAGTGAACACAAAACAAGTAAAGGAAATGTTTAGACTTGCCAAATTAGGATTTTTAAGGGAGGCCAAAGGTGCTGAACTAGATTCCAAGTTCCGAGCTTTATGTAGAAATGTTTGCAAAGGATTAGAGCAGAATGAAGAAGTCAGCTGTCTATAAACAACAAAATGTTACAATGACATTACATACGTACAATAATGCATAATCTTTTTAAACATCACTTTTCTGGATCATTTCCAAGTAGTAATTTCAGGTGGTCACCTAGTTAACCCTGTCAAACCTGGCTCTGTTTCTCAAAGAATTCAGACATGTAACTACCAGGTAGTTGGGCCTGCCTGCATGCTGAAAACCGGTCCCCAAGAATTTGTATATTTTTATATTATGTGAGAATTTTAAGTATTCACGATTTCTGAGCTATATACAAGTTTAAAAGTATTTCAATGCTTAAGTTGCCTGTGAGAAACTTCAGTAATCTGACTGATTTTCTGTGAATTATAATATTTTAGACATGACTAAATCGGACAATAAAAAGGTAAGCCACACAGTTTCTTGAGGCCTATAAGATGTGGTTTTACAGAACTTTTAGAATTCCTGGAACAACCAAAAAGATCAACTCAGATGTTTTGAAAAGAGACAAAGGCTTGAAGACAACTTATTGTGAGAATCAGAGTCAACATGTTTTGGTCATGTTAGGAAAAGAAGGAAAAGGGAGCATGTTGTTTCCACTGGAAAGATTTGTGCAAAAAGTGACAGAGGAAGACAACTTGAAAAGATTCTTAAAAGCCATTTGTCGTGGCATGGAGGGGTGGCAACACACAAACTGATGTGTCCTGTTGATGATCGCAGATTGTGGAAGGACATGATTGCGCACACCAGTCAGCAAAATACTTGATGATTTATGAACAGGTGAAAAGAAATGTCAATTGTTTGTGCTTGGCTTTCAGGACACACGCAGCTGTGATAGAGCAGCTCCACGAAGGTGTCCAGTGCCACACCTGTGCCGCTCGCTTCACCCTGGGCGACCACGAGAAGTACCGGGCCCACCTGGACTGGCACTTCAGACAGAATAAACTGGAGCAGGAAATGGTCAAGGTGGCCAAAAACAGGAAATGGTTCTACTCCATTCCGGTAAGTGGTCAAGTAGTTTTGTTGTCATTTGTAGTGTGTTGTGTTGTGTTACAGATAACAGTCAGACATATTAAAATGATGAGGATAGACATTATATTCCACAGTTAGTTCAGTCAGTGGTGTTCTCCAAGGTTGTCTGCAGTGGATTTCCACTAAGCTGTGTCTGTTGTCTTAGTTGTACACTCTCTGTGACTGCTGTGTGTCCATCTCATTTCCTCTCACTTTTATTGTTGTCATGTCTCTGTTCCCTTCCTGTCCCTCTATAATTTTTTTTTATAGCTCGCAATGTGTTTTAATATGACTAAAATATTTCAGTTGTCTGTTTTTTCTTTGTTATTCTCTTTTCAGTTTTCCATAACCTTCTTGTTTGACTGTTTTTGTTTCCATGAAATACAAGCTATTCTCCTGCATGTCCACAAATAATAATTGCCTTGGATATTTCACTGTATCTTATCAGGTTTTATCAGTACGAGGAACTGCCCGGCTCTCTAGCGTAGTTGGTTAAACCTGACATCGCTGTGACCAGGTGACGAACTTCTGGGTTCACTCCCAGGGGTAGGCAGAAAAGCCACATTTCTCCCAGATTTACAGTACTTATCATGGAATTAAAGCCGAAGGGTTGCGATATCCATAGTACCTAGCCAAAGGGTTAACAACTCATGGTTTCTGGATATTAAAAAAAAAATCAGTATGAAGTACAGAACATGAATCCTTTCAACAAAAGTACACATATTAATTACCTCATCTCTTATCACATTGTACATCTCATCAGCAGAAGTGTAAGATTAGCTACATGACCCTTTTTTTACATATGGCTGTGACCACAGATTTGGTATCACTGCACCCCGAAACTAGCCCATAGTAAACTTTTCCTCACTAGAAGTGGAAGGTCAGAGATGCTCATTGTACATCTTTCTCCATACATAGATGCATGTTGGAAATCTCCTAATTTATATTTTTTTCCAAAATTCACAATGACCTTTTCAGTATGATGTTTGTTAACAGATTTAACTTGGTGTTAATGAATAAACTTTTAACATCTCTAAGCAGTGTTATGCCCATAAACTTTCATAGTGAAATATTTATTTTTATTGATTTTCTCCCCATTAAATTTTTTCAGGACTGGGTACAGTACGAAGAACTGGAAGACACAATGGAAAAATGTAAGTTTTGCTTCTGTTTTCAGTGTTCTTTTCCCTTGAATGTAATACAATAGGAGACAGTGAAAGATAAACTGTCCACAAGAAAAGTTGTCATTACTGAATGTTTAGATTATTTATCAATGAGGTAGCTGGAGATTTCTTGTATGGCCAGAAAAATCTGTTGGTCAACTACAAATTTGTGCCTGTGTCCTGCGACTGCAGGGGTGATGAGTCATTTCTCTTTGAGCCTTTAAAACATTCAGAGACCAGCTTTGGCAGTGTTTAAAAAAAATTAATGTACATTTCCTCTTCCGTGCATTCACATGTTTTATAGACCAATCAGCACAAGGTGTCATGCACCCATCCACCTTTGCTTTCCCTGTTTAAACAAAATAATTCAACCCCGTGTTGAGCTGGGTCAGCCTAAGTTTATTTTAAATATCCTGTTCGGTTGGGATGTGATCTGGTGGTCACCAGGTTGATAGGTGGGCATGCTGGTCACTGAGCTACCACAGGCCACTGAGCTACCACAACTCCTATTGTTACAGGTTTTCTTCAGCATTCCCAGCTCTTGAGCTTTATTGTCTCAGATTATCACCTGCCTCAGTTCATCTGTTATTGGCCTTTTCTTCCCAGCTAGTGACAAACTGTTTTTAATTTTGCCTGAATATTCTCTCTCCACCGCTTTCATAATCTGCCGCAAGGTCTACTCCATTTCAACTCTTTTAGTTACAGTTTTAGTTTCTCTGCCATCTCCCATAATGTCTTCATACTCCACCCATTAGCACTTATAACGGCAGTAACCAATGGTGATTTCAGCAGATGACTGATAATGCTTTTTATAGCTATATTAGGTGCTTTATTAATATCCTACCCCAAACAGGTGTAATCCACAGGCCAGAGAACAGTCTAATATTTCAGGTGGTAGACAGGCTGCATGCAGTCGTGAGACCTAGGCTGCACTCTCTCATGGGACGTAGGTTGGTTGGGCTTAGGGAAAGTTCTAGATCAAGTTGGGAAACCCAGTCTTACCACCCTCTAAAATGTTGGACTGTCCTGTGACGTCATTTTTGGTAGGATATTAATAAAGAACCCTATATTAATATAATTTAATAATATTTGTCTAGTCGGTGAATGATCATCGAAGACTACAAGCTAGATGACCATTCAGCTGACTCTTCTTGGCAGTTTTCATAGCAAATGCTGTATAGTTGATTCCATGCCTCTTGTGTTTTTGCAGCTCGAAGTGAGATATTTGAACAGATGCGAACCGGCGAGCTGCCAGTGTCTAGTGCTGCTCATGCTCTGTCTGTGCGTGCTCTTGAAGGGAAAGAGGTTGTGAAGAATCCAGTTGCTTCTGGGATTGAAGGCGAAGATGTAAGTGATGTTCTCTTGTTTCTAGTAGCAGTGAGGCCAATTTGTTAACTGCCTTTTGATGATGGATATTCATCGTCATATGTGCAATGTAAACCTTTCAGTGTTATAGGATCATCATGATATCTATCTTCATTTATGTACATTGCTCATGTGGGTTCCCAAACAATATTTTGAGGACAGAATAGTCTCGCTGCCCTTGAAGCATATTGTAAAAGGCGACTAATTGAGAATTTGCTAAAGAGATGTGTTGGGCCAAAAGGTGCTGATTTCGCAGGTGAGCTATAAACTACAGCACATGTCAAATGACTCGTAAGTCATCTAAGAGAGCCAGAGAAAGGGAGATTTTTTTTCTTGAGTATTTTTGAACTCTTTCAGCCCTAGACAGGTGGTAATTTTACTCATTATTCTTTCTTCTCCTTCGCTCCTTTGATGATGTTTTTTGCTCATCTGAGAACATAAATGTTTTGTCCCTTAACAACATGGCTGCGATATTTGCATCTTTTGGCTGGCTTCTGGCGGCATTTGCTGCTCAGTTTAGTCCGGTTAGTTTTGTGGGACACTGCAGTCTCGTTGTGTGATCATCTTTGTTTCCTAATCCACCCGCCAGGCCGGAGCAGCCACATAATACTGATCTGTCCTCAAAAGAAGGCAATGATAGAACATAAGCATTCTTTGCCATCCAAGGAAGCTTCCATAAATGCAGATCTAGAGCACAGTGCTCCGATACTGGGCATATCTAAGGAATTGTCATGTCTTGCTAATGGCTGTTAACCACACTTCCCTATATTAAACCTCCACTCGTCACGGGCTAACTGATTATATTCTGACGAGTTGTCACTATTGATTATGCAGGTCTTGAAGTTTCAGTATTAACTGGAGCTGAGTGGCATGGACATATGGTGGCATGAAGAAAAAGTGCTTAGTGAGTGAGTTGGTAATGAATGTGTTTAGGCTGCTTGTTTTGGCCTCTGTGCACTGCATTTGCTTGGGTTCAAATATTAGTTCATTCCCTGATGTCACCTTGACAGACTCTCTGATGTGGAAACTGATTGTGTCTTTAACTAATGTGTCCTTAATACATCTGACATCTGTAGGTTTGTGCCACTTGTGGTGATCCATTTGATCAGATGTGGAATGAGGACACCGAGGAGTGGATCTTGAAAAATACTATCAAAGTCGACGGCAAGGTAAGTTGCCCCTCTCCGCTTGTTTTAAGGAAATCAGAGTTAAGGAGACGTGTGTCCCATTTTCACCAGGATAGTTCCATTTGGATCATTTTAATGTTGGAAATGTGCTGATAAGAATTTTTATTGTAGTGCTTTGTTTTTCATTCAGTTAAAGAGCATGTTTCTTTTTCTCCTTTTTATTTATTTTTTTTTTTTAAATTTAGCGGCAGTAGTTTGGGTTTTAATACCATTGAACGATTCATCTATTCACCCCAATTATCTGGGAGAAAAGGGTTTGCTGGCGATGCCGTTTTTCAGCTCTAGAAAGTTGTACAGTGGGATGTTATTGCAGTTATGTTTGAAGTGATAGTTTTTCACAAACATTGAATGTTACAGCAGAAAATTGAGGTTATACGTGAATATTGAGAGGTGTTGGCAGAAACTTGTGTTTATGTTAAGTTATACCATGAATATTGAGAGGTGCTGGCAGAAACTTGTGTTTATGTTAAGTTATACCATGAATATTGAGAGGTGCTGGCAGAAAGTTGTGTTTGTTATGTTAAGTTATACCATGAATATTGAGAGGTGCTGGCAGAAACTTGTGTTTATGTTAAGTTATATCATGAATATTGAGAGGTGCTGGCAGAAAGTTGTGTTTGTTATGTTAAGTTATATCATGAATATTGAGAGGTGCTGGCAGAAAGTTGTGTTTATGTTAAGTTATATCATGAATATTGAGAGGTGCTGGCAGAAAGTTGTGTTTATGTTAAGTTATATCATGAATATTGAGAGGTGCTGGCAGAAACTTGTGTTTATGTTAAGTTATACCATGAATATTGAGAGGTGCTGGCAGAAAGTTGTGTTTATGTTAAGTTATACCATGAATATTGAGAGGTGCTGGCAGAAAGTTGTGTTTATGTTAAGTTATACCATGAATATTGAGAGGTGCTGGCAGAAAGTTGTGTTTATGTTAAGTTATACCATGAATATTGAGAGGTGCTGGCAGAAAGTTGTGTTTGTTAAGTTATACCATGAATATTGAGAGGTGCTGGCAGAAACTTGTGTTTATGTTAAGTTATACCATGAATATTGAGAGGTGCTGGCAGAAACTTGTGTTTATGTTAAGTTATACCATGAATATTGAGAGGTGCTGGCAGAAAGTTGTGTTTATGTTAAGTTATACCATGAATATTGAGAGGTGCTGGCAGAAACTTGTGTTTATGTTAAGTTATACCATGAATATTGAGAGGTGCTGGCAGAAAGTTGTGTTTATGTTAAGTTATACCATGAATATTGAGAGGTGCTGGCAGAAACTTGTGTTTATGTTAAGTTATACCATGAATATTGAGAGGTGCTGGCAGAAACTTGTGTTTATGTTAAGTTATACCATGAATATTGAGAGGTGCTGGCAGAAAGTTGTGTTTATGTTAAGTTATACCATGAATATTGAGAGGTGCTGGCAGAAACTTGTGTTTATGTTAAGTTATACCATGAATATTGAGAGGTGCTGGCAGAAACTTGTGTTTATGTTAAGTTATACCATGAATATTGAGAGGTGCTGGCAGAAAGTTGTGTTTGTTATGTTAAGTTATACCATGAATATTGAGAGGTGTTGGCAGAAAGTTGTGTTTATGTTAAGTTATACCATGAATATTGAGAGGTGCTGGCAGAAAGTTGCATTTGTTAGCCATGAATATGTTGTTCTTTTGTAATGAAAAATGTAGTACTAGTGCAGCCCCAGGAACAGTGTATCACATCTCAAGTTAAATAGCCATTGGTTCTGCTGTATGCAGTTCAACTATTGCCATTGAACACAGCCTAGGAAGTTCAACAATTGCCATTGAACCCAGCCTAGGCAGCTTGCTGTCATACAGATGCTTACAGTTCATATACCAGATTCAGCACTAACATCAGACTGGTGACACTGAGCTGGCTTATTTAGTGAAAGAGGCAGAGTGATCTTGAGGCATGGGGTCCGCCTTGAATGCTGGAGGTCACTGGTTCAGACCCCGCTGAAGGCTGGGATTTGTTTCCACATGGACTTATAGTACTTTCCCCTGGTCTCTGGGTAGTAAGATCAGAAGCTCAGGTGTATTGTTGCGCACGTTAAAAAAAAACCCTTGGCAGTTTGAAATAAAAAAAGAGTAGCCTAACAGCACTGCAAATTTAGGGTTAAAAATAGTTTTATAATCCATTCAGTTATCATGTTCGTGTTCCTGTAAGGATGGTAAAGTTACAAGCTAAAATTAGATCGTTTATTGATACTAATATGGCTTTGTTTGTTTGCAGACTTATCATCCGGTCTGTTATGAGGATGCTCAAGAGGTAAAGCCAGTTATTTTAGAATAATGCTTTCTTTTTTTTTTTCTTCTTCACCTTCAGTTTGTTTTATTTCTTGTTTCGGGTTTATTTCTTGTGGAAGTTGTCACAGCTTTGGTTTTTCTGTGACAGGAATGCTGTTGAACTGTATAGTGGGTGTAACAGATGTCCAAGTTAACCATCAATAAATACCATCATCACACAGACAGATATAGTTATGATTTTTAAATTGTGAGTTGACCATGACAGATGAAATATTCATGTCTTTATAAACATTAAATATTCATCTTGTCTTTATAAACATCAAATTTACACTGTCAGTGTGTGTTCTTGTGGCCTAATGAACTCAACAACAGCATAGGCCCTCTAATGCTCGCATGGTCACCCTGTCCTTTGCAGTGGCGTGTTGCTGACTTTATGTCCTCCCCATCTCATTCATGTCTCTTATTATCATCTGTGCTTGTTTTCCGGTTTAACCTTCCTTAATTTCTTAGGCCCGGTGGATTACAGAAGCTAGTCCTTCCAATATTTGTTAGTATAGGGAGAAAATGAGAGTTAAAGTGTTACGTAGAACCTGTGTTATATGCATATGAAACATAGACAATAAGCAGACAAGCTCAAAAAAAAAACATTCACTCGGAGCATAGATGTGGTTTCTAAGAAGAATACACAGAGTATCATGGAAAAATGGAAAAACTAAGCCGATCGCATTGAGACAGATGAAAGTTGTAAACTTATTAGAACAATTATACGTAGACATTCAGTATTCTTTGGACATATTATGAGAAGAAATGGACTCTATAACTTGGTAACAGCTGGCAAAAGTAAACATCCAAACCTGCACAGTGTGTGGCCTCAAGAGCCACTCCCTTCCAGAAGTGACAGGTTTTTCTCCCCAATATGATTTAAGACAGAAATATGAGAAAACATATGTCCATGTGGTGTTAATTGACATTAAATTGTTTTTGCTGTCTTCTACAGACGCCCACGCCTGTGACTGTGCCCACAAAAAACCCACTAGAGTTGGAGCTTCAGAGTCAACCCAAAACTGTTGATAGCAGCAGCAGTGTTGGAAAAGTTTTAGTCAAGCCAGAGCCGATGGACATCACAGAGGAGACCCCTGTGGGCAACAGTGAGGCTGTAGCTGCCAATTTGCAGGTCAAGAGTGAGATCAAGCCTGAGCCTAGCCTAGAAGATTCTTCAGAATTGATATCATCGTCAGCACATGTTGAACTGAAATCAGCATCAGCACACGTAGAACTGATATCATCGTCATCACGGGACTCTACTGATTTAAACAGTGCAATAAAAAATGGCAAATGTGCAGACAGTGCGGCAGCTACCAGTACTGGGGCTCCCAGCCTGGCCCCACCTGCAGCTACCACAACAGAAGTTGTTGTTTGTCAAGGACCCACTTTACTGAGCACCATTGCCACAACTGTGGTGCGAGAAGTGATCCCTGTCAGCCACGAGGACCCCATGTCTCCCTGGGAGATGGATTCAAACCCAACTCCTGAACTCTCGCGCACACCGACTCCTGAGCCCATCAGGTCGTTTACTCCAGCGCAGTCGCTGTCATCAGAATCCATCAGTTCTCTTGCTCAAGGATCTGACAGTCTGGCATCAGAGGAACCATTGCCTCCTGCAGCTCTAGCCTCTGCTGCTTCGTCGGGTGTCAGTAAAACTGTGGAGGGTTCCACCAAATAACACAAACCACTGTTATGATGATCCTTTTCAGTGTAAAGGGGAAGTAAACCTGTAGCATGCTTGGTTTGGTTTGAATAGATGACAGATGATTTTACTGTAGTCCAGGTTATCACTGGTCTTCTAGCTTCGAGTCAATGGGTACAGCTGATCATTTGTTTGCTATTGTTATCGGTGGATCGGCTGATCTGAAGGCAAAGAGTTCACACATGAACATAGTTGAATGCCGCCAACAGAAAGTTGAACATTGATGCTTTGTTGTTGGTGCACTTGAGGATATTTTACTTAGAACATAATATTACGGGTCACATGCAGTTTTCTATTGGGAGCCTTTTCTCCTTGCAAACTGATGGTTTTATACACGTGCTGCAGAAGAATATGGACTAAATTCAGCAGCAACTGTATGTAACTTTCCCAACACATTTGAAACAGTGTAGGACGGACTGAAGCCTATAAATGATGGACCTGCAGGGACAGAAACGGTGAGGTTGTTAAGCTGGGTCCTATACCTCATGGACTTCCAGCAACAGGAGAAACAGCTCTATTACTCCTTACAGCAGGTCAGGCCAGATGCTGACCTACTCTTGCTGTACCGCTAACAACATAAGAAACAGCTCCAGTTTTTTGATGACCTGTACAGCGCTGTACCGCTAACTTGAGAAACAGCTCAAGTCAGACGTTGACTTGTACAATGCTGTACGGCTAACGACATGAGAAACAGCTGCAGTATAATCTGACCTGTACAAGACAGACTTGCAGTCACGTGAGAAACAGTAAAGGTCAGATAGGATCCATACATAACCCACCTCCGGCAAATGAGAAACAGTTAAGGTCAGGCTGGGACCTACACATGCTGTACCGATAGCAACATGAGGGGCAGCTGTGATAAAACAGACCTCTAGCGACATAAGAAAAAGCTCAACTCTGTGACCTATCTAATGCTGGACCGCCAGCATGGTGAGAAGCAGCCGAGGTCAGGCTGTTGCCCATACCTGCTGGGCCCCCGATAAACAATGTACGTTACATCCAGATATGTACGTGGATGTGATTCGTCACTGTTACCAAATGTGCTGAAAATGGCAGTGAAATTTCTGCATTTTGTCCACTGTGATACCTCCGTCATTATTTTGTATGCTTGTAAATAATTGGTTTTCTGTTCATTATTCCAGTTTTGTATGTTTATGTAAGATGTGTTATTCTTGTTTTTAATGCTATGTGACAAAAAATGATTAAAAAAATATGCAATAAATTTATTATATAATTGTTAGTGTTATGTGTTTTATCTCATGTTGTCCCATATGATTAGCCAGATAAATGTTCATCTAATAGTTAACACGGCTCCTGGTGTGTAAGCACACATATGACAGTTGTCTGTGCTGTCGGCTGCTGCTTTGGTCATGACTGTCATGTGTCAGGGAAGAGAAACATTTTACTTGAGTGAGTCTTGCTTTTTTCTACCATCATCACACACGACTCATCTGCCAAGATTTCAGATTCCAAAGTATAATTTTTCCCTGTGTGGATCCGAGGGTAAATTTTGGAACAGACACCCCCCCCCAGCATGCCTTAGGAGGCAAACAATTAAAGGCATTTCAAAGGTGAAGTGCATCTACCTGGGAGGCTAGGAACCAACAGTCTGCATATAAATAAGCTACTTTTGTAAAAGGGATGGACATACAAAACTCCAGTTCTGCATCTAGACCAGTCCAGAATCAAACGAACAATGGAAACTTTGCATCTTGAGTTTACAGATGGTGAGTGCCTGGAAGAAGAAGAAACTGTCAGTGGTAGAGTTCAACTGCAAGCATTTAGAGACAGTTGTGGTCACTGATGTTTTCAGCTAGGCCCAAATAATTCAATGTACATGCTTTTTTTAAATTGTTTTGCTAGATTGCACATAATGGCTCGTGGAGGAGCCATTGTTTTGTATGTTAACCAATCAGGAGCAAATCTCGGGACCCTCTAACTAAATTAAACAACTGTATTTGGGTTATACTGTTTGCAGGTTTGGTCTGCTGTTGATGTATAGTGGAAAAGATGATAAATTATGGGGTAATGAGAGAGAGGTACATATACATTATTGAATGTAAATGTTCATTAATGGTGGTATGAGGAAGTCATGTATAGATAGCTGAAGTGCAGGAAACAGATGGGCAGCCAGTACAATACCTGCTCATGTTGTGATCACTACCCACAAGTTATTGGAATAGAATATTTTTTTTCTTCACCAGTGTCGGGGAGGGGTCAGGTAATGGTTTTGTAAATTCTGTTTTTTTTTTTTTAAACGCTCCTGGGACTTTTGGGGTCAAGTAATGGGGTTATAATTTCTGCTTTGTTTTTTCTATCACCGGGACTTGGGTCAAATATTGGACTGTGGGGGTCTGTCTATGCATGATTGCATCGGCTTACTTGACAAATGTGGCTTGTAGGGGTCAAGGAAAGGGTTATGTGGGTTCTCACTATTAAAGACCGCTTTTTTAAAATGGCATTAGCTTCAATTTCTGCAATGCACAGGCTTGGGGGGTAAAAATAATTGATTTTTGTCTTATATACAGGTGATTGTGTCAGCTTCTGTTTCTTCACCACTAGGGCTGAGGTCAAACCCTGAAGTTGAGTTTTCAATATTGTTTTTCTAGACAAAATGTTTTCCTAATGTCACAAGCGGTGTAGTCTTTGAAAGTATGTTTCTGCTGTACTGAGAAGCAAACCACATGGCTGTTATTCCAGTTAATTTTGTATACACATCTGTAAGTGAGACTGATTCCCAATCTCCTCTGCTGGTGTATGACATATGGCTGTGTGGTGTAGTCTGAAACATTATCTGCTGCTTCTCTTGTCTTTGGTTAATATGCATCATGACTTGTCAGTACGTTGATTACAGACCATAGATGGATGAATGCAGTTCATCACTTTCGCATTGCAAGTAATCCAATTGTAAATGTGAATATATGTGTCAATGTTGGTTCTCTGTTATCATGTTGTTGGCACTACGGCCACATTCACTTATGATGGGCTTCAAATAAAAACATGAAAAGAATTATAAAAATTACAATCCTTTGACTTTTAACATTGCTATAGTTGAGGAGGGCAGGAGTGGCAAGTATGTGATATTACCATGTAGATGTACACAGTGATGTCATAATTACAGTTGAAAATGGCTACCCCACTTTTGACATGCACCAAAGAGGAGTGGCAATCTGTTTGTGTGTGAAGGGATAAACCTACATGCCTGTCCGTTCAGCAAGTGAGTGGAGTGGGAAGCTGCAAAACTTCTTTGACAGACTGTTCACAACCGGGTTGGTCACACTACCATCACGATGATGTCACTGTGTTTATCTGCACCCTGATGTGTCACATGCTGAACACTCTTGACATCCTTAACAATAATATTGACAGGTTTTAAGACAATGACAGGCTTGTCATAAGGGTTGACTGATTAGGGGTGTTCCTTCAGAGTTGTTCATCTGTCTGAGAGGCAAGGAGTCAGCAGTGTATACAAAGTAGGCCAGATTTGTAAAACGGATGTTCAAACCAAGTTCAAGATCTGGATCAAGACCAAAATCCAGGAGTGGACGAGCAACCAGAACCTATGTTTTGTTCAGCCGGGGAAGAAAAAGATAACTTTTTTGTAGTTGGAATTCACAAATATTTCCTTGGTCTATTGTGAAGTCGCAAATGCCAGCTTTGGAAATGCACTTAACTCCCAGGGGGTTTAGCATCACAGGCGCAAGGGGTAGTCAAGAGAGATGTAAATTCGGTGCAATGCTTTCATTGGGCTTCTAGGTAGGAATCTATGAACATATGATGCGTTCTTTGGGACTCAAAGAGTTAAGTGACTTTGGTGTTGTGCCATTTATGTATTCACATGTTTGCTGAATGACCTGTCCCTTGAGCTTTGTTGCCAACTGTCACACATCATGTTCAGCTAGAGTTGAGGAGGAGCTGACACACTGGCCACCACCCACAGCAGCGGTGAACTGATACAGTTGTAAACCCAAGCAGAAAGACCTGGTTGTTCGTCCATATCTAGTCTTTGGCTTTGTTGCAGGACCTGAGTTTTGCATGCGCATCCATTTTACAGATCTTGATTATTTTGATTCTGTTGCTTTCCTTGCCTCTCGGGCAGATGCGCTTCGACTTTGAAGGAAGCCGTCAATTAGTCTCTTACAACATGCTTGTTAGGGAGGCTGTGTGTCTGTTCTTGTTTTTCCCACAATGAGACCCCGAAACCCACACGAGGGACTGAAACAGTGATATCTGCTTGTTCAGTGGCTACTCACCTTCCTGTGATCTGTCTTCTGACATCTGGTGACGTGCAGTGTGGTTAGTGGGACATTTACTTTTACCCAATCAACGCATCCTCTGATGTTTACAAATGACCTCAGCTGGTCTTGTAACATCCAGTTACATTCTGCAAATCCAGTCATGGCCTTCACTTACATTCTGTGTACTTGCCCTGTAACATCTTGACCTTTGACATCTGCTAACATGCACGTACACTCTTATCTCTGTCCAATAACCTCCTGATGTCCACTTAGCTTCTGGCTCTACTAGGCCTGCATATCTCCTGATGTCTGCTTATCTCCTGATGTCTGCTTATCTCCTGATGTCTGCTTATCTCATGATGTCTGCTTATCTCATGATGCCCTCATATCTCCTGATGCCCTCATATCTCCTGATGTCTGCTTATCTCCTGATGTCTGCTTATCTCCTGATGTCTGCTTATCTCATGATGCCCTCATATCTCCTGATGCCCTCATATCTCCTGATGTCTGCTTATCTCCTGATGCCCTCAAATCTCCTGATGTCTGCTTATCTCCTGATGCCCTCATATCTCCTGATGTCTGCTTATCTCCTGATGTCTGCTTATCTCCTGATGTCCTCATATCTCCTGATGTCTGCTTATCTCCTGATGTCCTCATATCTCCTGATGTCCTCATATCTCCTGATGTCTGCTTATCTCCTGATGCCCTCATATCTCCTGATGTCTGCTTATCTCCTGA